CTCTGACCCAAGACGAGCGCACCCCGCTGCGGAGCTGGCAACCCACGGGGTCGATCTTGCACGCCGGCGTTTTCTCCGCGCAGGGGGGGCGGAGTGGGAGAGAGACAACGGAATCCTACTTTGGCCTGCTGGGCCTCCCGCGAAGGAAGGCTCGACCGTGCTAGGTGCAGGGCTGGCGGGCTGGGGCGAATTAAAGGCAGCGGTGGGCCCTATGACGCGATCGCCAGCAGCTGCCGCCCTGCGGCTGGGCTGCCTGAGGGGGGGGGTTCAAATCAGCGGCTCGGGGGCCCTCCTCAGAAAAAAAAAGCGACAGCGGCAGGAGACGGCGGATCGACGACGCCCCAAAATAGCTGAACATACTTTTCTTCTCGTTGTACCGCGGCCTCTGCTCGGGCAGTGTTCCGTTGCGCCCGAGCCTGACTGGACTTGGAGCCGGTGCTGGGCCCCTTGCCTGGCCTCGCCATCTGGGGCAGCTTCGGCGCCAGGGTGAGGGTCCGCGTCAGGAGCTGCCGACCCCCCTGCCTCAACTGAAGTTCCACCCCGCTGTGCGTCTTCCATGGGGCGGTCAGGACTGGGCGCGCAGCTTGCACATATGCCAAGGCAGAGGTGCTGCAAATGACACTGTCGAGAATGTTACCTCGCTCACCTGCGTCGCAAGTGCACTCCGCATCAAGAGGAAGGAGATGGCCTCCCACGCGCTTGACGAAGACGGACTTGCCCATCACTGGCGCGGCCACATTGAAGTCCCCAGTGACCGCCCCTGGCAGCTGCAGCGACTGTAGGAGCATCCCCAAGCGTTGGTATCGGACCAAACTCGCACCAATAAACCCGGCAGAACTGATTCCGTGCTTTCTCTCTTCTTTCAAAAATGTTTAAAACAATCATCAAGACGAGGGCGTAGCCCGACATGTGAAGGGCAGCCGGCGTCATCCTATCACGCGTAGGGCCATCTCACCTGCACGGAGGTCACAAGTACTGCCACCCGCCTCGAAACTGCGAACCTGCAGATGACCGCGGATGAGAAGCCGCTCGCCGCGTTCCCGAGCTGGAACGGCAAGCATGCGAAAACCCGAAGCGCGAGCCTGACGGTCCCATCGTCGGAAACTAGGCTTACATGGGTTTCGGAAGTGGCAAGCAGGCTGTGACGCCCCTTCAGTGACATGCGGCGATTCCAGATCTTATCACTCATCGCTGTGACATTTCCCAACTGCACTGAAGTGCAAGCCTCCCCGCGCGATTCCTCATGCGATCCCACGTCGCCAGAAGATTCGGCGGCCTGAACAGGATTGTCGGCGGAAGGCGAAGAAGTGGCTGGAGCGGTAGCCGAGCTCGAGCTGAGGCCCCCGAAGCCGGCGAAGATGCCATAGAAGTGGGAGCTGGATCCTGCGCAGTAGGCGGCGTAGTGAGTCCGAGCGGCGACCCAGTAGCAACCGACGAACTCGCCGCTGACTTTCGCGAAGCCGCCGAGGCAAGGCCCTTGCCTTTGGCCTTTGCAGACCCAGGGGCAAGGCCTTTACCATTCACCTGATTCTGCTTCACGATCTCCGCGGCGGCGAACTTGGCCTCGGAGAGCTCGGCGGCCTCGGCGCGGACGGTCTCAGCGCAGGCGCCCGCCTTGGCGGTCGCCTCGGCTACAGGCGGAACCTCCGAGCTGGGGCCTCTGCCGTAGGCGCCTGGGCACGCTGCGCGGGCTGCTGCGCTGCCTCCTGCTTCTCGGCAACCTGCTGCTCGTCGGCGACCTTCCGCATTTCCTTTCCTGGCCTCCACTTCCTTGCGGAGGGCGCCGGCGCGGTCGAGCCACCCGCGACTGTCAGCTTCGCGAGTCGCAGAATTCGTCTTCGCCTCCTTGAGTTGCTGAGCCAACGACGCCGTACGTTCCCGCTCCGCGGGTTCGAGCTCCTCCGTGTCCTCGACAATGCCCTCATCCCAGGAGAGATTGAAGAGCTTGGGTTCCTCTCCGTCGCCACCTGGCTGAGAAGCACCTTGAGCTCCCTGAACGACACCTTTAGCCTGGGCCAGACGAGCAGCATCCTGCTTCGCTGTCGTCGCGCTGGTGAGGGTGATGGCCGCCGCCTTCTCCTTATCCTCGGCGGTTGTGAGGAGTCCTGCCGACTGTGCTGGTCCAGATTGTCTCGCTCCACCTGGAGATCGCCTTGACGGTGGGGTCGACACTAGCCTTGACGGCGTGAGCGAGAGGCTCCACGGCTGTCAGGGCGCCCTGCGCAATGGAGCCCGCGGCGCCCGTCTTCAGAATGGACTTGGTGTGCGCCTCCTTTCCGCCCTGCTGGCCGTCCCCGCTGGTGAAGGAGACGCGTTTTGCGGGCGACTTCGAGCGGCCCACATGTAGACGAAGCATCCTATGACACTTGGAGCACGCCTTGCCATTGCGTTCGAGGATGTCATTCCACTCGTGCTGTCCGCAGCCGCGGCAGCGGCTCCACAAGCGTGCTGCAGCAAAGCCAGGCATGGGAAAACAATGCGTATAGGACGAAACCCTCCTTCGTCAACCAAGGGGTGCGGTCGTGTGGCAACGAACGCTGCACCACTCGGTGTCCCCCAAGTGCCACGAGGAGGCGAGGGCTGGCCGAGGGCAACATGCTCTCGGGCCGAGAACTTGAAGGAGGAGGAAGAGGAGGACGAGGAGGAGGAGGAAGGAAGAGGAGGACCGCTCTTTCAGCCGGAACCTGCTGTTGACGGGCCTGGGGCGCGGGCCCCCCAGGGGCAGCGAACTGCCCGGGCTGCCCTAGATGCTCTTTTGTTGCTGCTGCTGCCGCGACGCGAAGGGGCCTGGGAGGGAACCAAGGATACGGGGCTAAACGATATGCACCACCAGCACCTCCCTCGCCCTTTCCCTCTCCCACGAGAGGGGATAGGGAGAGGAGGAGGGAGAGGAGGGAGGAGGGAGAAGGAGTGGAGGCGGGGGTGATGCATGTTCTTGGGACCCGCAAGGGAAGGGGACACCGGCTCATTGGGGGGGGGGAAAAGGTCGACTCGGAATCGGCGACACGTCGCCGACAGAGATTGGCGATGGGCCCCCGATGGCGAATGCGCACACTCCTGGGCGGGGCGGGCTGCCGCACATCGACAAACTGTTGCAGCACTTTTGCTGAGCTTTGGGGCCTACACTGCGCTGCTCGTGCCCCCCGGTTCCCCCCGATCTTAAGATTGGGTGCGTGGCGAAGAGCCCTTGGGCCGCCCGGGGGCTGCCAACATAATGCTGCACCACGGAGCTGTTTCGACCAGCCCAGGCTGAACCCAATATTGAGATCGGGGGGGAGGGGTGGGTGGAAAACAAACGCTTATAGAACAGCGACGCGGTTTATTGTCTGCGCCAGATGGCGCAACATTTTGTCGATGTGCTGTATCAGGCCCCTGTTGGCAATGAGTGGGCGAGTGGGCGTCGATGCGTCCTCTGAGCATATGCCCACCGAAGGTTGCTCCTGAGGGGTGGGTCTCCACAGCGGAGGTCGGCCCTACACCTCTAGAGGATCTCGAGTCCTCCTTTATTGGAGGCCAGGGAAGTGGCACCAACACCAACGCGGGGCGTTGCCTCCACCAGGGGAGGATGACCCTGGCTTTTGATGCTGATGGTAACCTTTCGACCACCTACGACGCCCGATCATTACCACCACCACCAAGACCAGGATCATCTCCCCTCAGTGGAGGCAACCGCAGATACCTGTGTGTGGAGGGTGACAAAACGGGGACCATGACCAATACAGAACGCGGAAACGTCGTGTCGACCTTGATAACCGTCGATCTTGGCCAGCGTCACGTCGAGGACCATCCACGCGAATCGGCGACGACCAGCATGAATCATGACCAATATTGACATCAGCAAGATCCCACGACGTCTTGGCCATGGCCCTCGAACTTCTTCCCCCGAGAACTGGTGCCCACCTCTACATCCCCCTTCGAAATCAAATACAAGTTTCTCCCACGACACGGCGACGCCCCTGGACACCAAATTTCAATGTTGACTCCAATAGTGGCGACTGGAATTTGTGTGTTGACCCCGCGGGCCGCGCTGCGCGCATCCATCCACATTGAAATTCGGGGGCGAGGGGTCGGACAAAAACTTGCGCTTGATTTCAAGGAGCGTTGTAGCTTATCCTCACCACCCTCTCCCCTCCTCCCCGTCCTCCCAGCTCATCTCCTCCCCCTCCTCTCCCCCATCCTGTCCCTGGAAGTGTCCCTCATCCTCACCCTCCCTCCCTCCAACCCTCCACAATTCCTCAATATGAAAATACTCTCCCTGTTCCCCTGATGGCGTCCGGGTGATGGCCGCGCACCCTCCGCGTACTGTTCTTTTACACACGAGATTCCCGGGAAATCCCGGGAAACGAGTCTCGCTGAGGCGGCGGCGTCACTTTTTCCCAAAATGCTGCTCTCGTTGAGGCGCCGGCCTCATTTCTGCTCCCGAATCGTTCCGAATCGTGCTCCCGCTGCAGCGTGGGCCTCATTTTCGGATCGGTGTTTGGCCTCCGTCGTTCAGGATGGCGTTCTCGCCCCAGCGCGGGCCTTTTCTCGCGCGCCCATCCGCCCGCCACCACCGCGCCGCACCGCCACCACCACCACCACCACCACCACCACCACCACCACCACCACCACCACCAACACCACCACCACCACCACCACCACCACCACCACCACCACCACCACCACCACACCACCACCACCACCACCACCACCACCACCACCACCACCACCACCACCACCACCACCACCACCACCACCACCACCACCACCACCACCACCACGACAACCACGCACACACGCACGCACGCACGCACGCACCACCACCCACTACGCACGCGCGCGCGGTCCGCTCCGCTACGACACGCGTCCGCGGATAGAGAAAATCAGCGCCATGGTAAGGGATGGGAGGGAGGGGTAGGACGTCAGATATGACGCGAGCGCACCTAGCTTGCCATCCCCCCCTCCTCCCCTCCCCTCCTTCCTCCTCGCCTTCCTGCCGCTCTCGAGTCTGAGCCGCCCGCGCTCGCTGGCGGCGCCCTTCTGGGACCCCAGCAGCTCCCACCGCTGGAGGTCGGACCGCACCTGACCGGGGGGGCGTCGGCGCCACCGCCGGCCCGGCGCCCGGCGGCCGCGGCTCTCTCGCACGCGCGCGGGCCGCACGGCTCTGGGCGGACCGTCGCCGCTGCCCCGAGCGGCCCCGACTCGGCCTCCTCTTCCTACTCCTTCTCCTCCTCCTCCTCCTTCATTTCCTCCGCCTTCTCCTCCTCCTCCTCCTAACCAGACTCGAACTTATCCCTATCCCTGAGATGGGCAAGCCCAAAGCGATGACAGCCTGGGGGATGTGCCCTCAGAAACTGGGGGAATCTTACGATCGGCATCGAGATGAGGAGATGCCAATCTTAGGGATAGAAGTGATCTGTTTCAGGCTGGTAGTCCTCCTCGTCGTCCGCCTTCTCCTCCTCCTCCTCCTCCTCCTCCTCCTCCTCCTCCTCCTTCCTCGGAGGGGGGGCGGAGCAGGCCGAGCAAGGTGGGCGAGGGAGAATCCGCACGAAGAGCACGTGGAGCGGGCGGGAGGGGGCCACGAGGGGAAGGGCGCTTGCGGGGGCGGACGAGGGCTGGGGCCCGAGGCGCGCCGCCGCCTTGTCGGCGTCCGCCTTCGCCTTCTGCAGCTCCTCCCGCCATCTCTCGACGGACGGCCCCGCCATCGCGGCAGGGGCCCCCGAGCCACGCTGGCGGGCCGAGATGGGGAAGCGGACCCTCAGATGATGATGATGATGATGATGATGATGATGATGATAATGATGAATGATGATGATGATGATGATGATGATGATGATGATGATGATGATGATGATGATGATGATGATGATGATGATGATGATGATGATGATGATGATGATGATGATGATGATGATGATGATGATGATGATGATGATGATGATGATGATGATGATGATGGAACTAGGAACTAGGATTAGGATTATGATGATGCTGATGATGATTATGACGGTGATGATGCTGCTGATGATGGTGATGATGATTCTGATCATGGTGATACTGATTGTGGCGAGGGGGCATTCTGATTGGTCAGCGCCGAGAGAGGCCCCGCTGGTGGCCTCGCCAGCCCCCTCAGAAGCCGCAAGCGGTAACCGTGCGCGAGAGCCCTCCAAATCGCCCGACACCGAATCCGGAAGCCGGATCGGGTCGGAACGCGCATCGGGATCGGGCTCCTTCCGGATCCAGCGGTTCCAGGGCTTTCCCGGATCACATCTGGGGAAACCAGCCAAGGCCCTTCAAGGACCAGGTCTGCCCCGGGGCAGCTCGGGTGCCCAGCCGAGTCGGCAAGGAGTCGGGACCGAAGCGGATCGGCTGTAAGATGCATCGCATCGCCCGGAGATCGGGCCCTCGGCGTCGACGTCGCCGACACCTGCGAGCCGTGGGGCGTCGCGCGCTCGAGAGGCTGCCACGGCCCCACTCGGGGGCGCGCAAACATGGATTAGCGATCCGTGGATCTGGCGCGCGGTCGCCAAATCCATGGATCGGGGAGGTGGCCTCCCCCGAAAATGCGGCCGGTGCCGCCTCGTTCGGCGGCGGAAATGCCCGTCGCTAATCCGCGCCCCCTAGATCCATGCTGGCGATCGCCTGAGTTTAGGTCGGGTCTATCCCCCTACAGACGGATTTTGGACGAAGAATCAAAGATACCCCCAAAAATATTCAAAAATAGTCAAAGCATAATCGAAACATCGTCCCCAGACTATTTTTTGTTAAAACTATTTTTGAATACTCCTCCTGTAGAGGGGCGTGCCCGACTCAAGAGCAGGTGGGGTTCCGGGTTCAAGAGGGTCGCGCCGCCGCATCGCCGACGCGCCGGCGAGGCATCGTCGCGTGGAGAAGCCAGGCTCCACATCGAGCCGCATGGCCGTTGCATCGGCGATGCCGCGCGATCCTCCAACCCCATCTGCTCGGACCCGTCCCAGAAGGTGTGAGGACGGGGAGTGAAGGCGCGGCGACTCGACTCCCGTGTTAAGCCTGTCCCGGGCCAGTGCGCGCGGCGTGGGAATCACTGAACTCCGGAGCTCAATCGTTTGCGGGCTGGCGTGTCCGCCAGCTTGGCGGCGACTCGACTCCAGAGCCAAATCTTCCGCGGGGTGGCGCTTGCCCTGGAATCGGGGCGACTTCACTCCGCAATTAACTCTTGGATAACCTCCCAGGTTTCAGTCACCACCGGGAAGGCCCTATACCTTCTCCTCCTCCTCCTCCTCCTCCTCCTCCTCCTCCTCCTATCTCCTCCTCTTGCCATCCTCCTCCTCCTCCTCCTCCTCGCACCACGGCCGGGCGCGGCTCGGGAAGAGGGCCAGGGTGGCGCCCAGGAGGGGCGCAGGAACTGGCTCCGAGCGGACTTGCGGAGAGGAGAGGCAGAGGAAGAGGGGAAACGCAGGACACGTGCACAAACGATCTGCAGCACACCCTCCCGTCCGACGTGCCCCCAGGTCGAACAATCCTACAGGCGGGTTGGTTTTGGGCGAACAGTAAAAAATAATCCCAAAGTGCACAAACAAATCATCAAGCACTGTTAACAAAAACAATGGGCTATTCTTGAACACTCCTCCTGTACAGGGACAGGCCCGACTCAAGCGTACCCTCCTCGGGACCCCCCCCCAAAACAAACAAACAAACCAATCCGCGCTCTCTCCTCTGGGCAGGAGGCCCCTTGAGAGAGGAGCGCCCCGCGTGCAGGGCGAGAGAGAGAGAGCCTGGTGTTTAAAAGAAGGAGCCGCCCTCAGTGCCCGACCGCAAGAAGCCTTCCACACGAGAGACCCGAACCTGGGACCGCCGGGAGGTGCATTGATTTTTGGCATGGGAGCGTCACGCTTTCCACAGCGTGGTGCTGCAAAGGAGCCGTCCTCCATGCTCGACCGCAAGAAGCCTTCCACACGAGAAACCCAACCCTGGAACCCCAGGGTGCACGTTGATTTTTTGGCATGGGAACGTCACGCTTTCCATAGCGTGGTGCTGACAAGGAGCCGTCCTCCATGCTCGACCGCAAGAAGCCTTCCACGAGAAGCCCAACCCTGGAACCCCAGGATGTGCATTGATTTTTTGGCATGGGAACGCCACGCTTTCCGTCGTCAAAGCCATCGAAACACAAGAGACGCAAGGCACCCTGGAGTTGAGCAGGGACCGACCGCCCCGGTATTCCTTTAGGCCTACCCCGACATGTTCTTGGTATCCAAAAATGTTCTAATAACAAGAAAAATTCTTAGAACATGAGCCCGACGTGTTAAAACAAGACAATCAGTCTCAGCCAGAAAGGGTCTTAGAACTTGTCGTGCAAACCACGAAATGTTCTTAGAACATTCTCTGGTAGGCCTATCGGCGAGCCAGGACGCTTCGCCACTGCTCGAGGGAGGCGAGCAGGGAGCTCCTTGGCATGGGCCTCCACTGCATCAGCCGAGACACCGAGAAGCATGATCGCTGCGGCCAAGGCGGCGCCCAGCGAGAGCCCAGCCTTGGCGAGACCCTGGGGCCCGTGGCAGGAGAGCTGCGTCGAATCGGCGATCGAAACTCATCGAATCGGCGGACATCGTCAGCCAAGTCGGGAGGAGTCGACTCGGCTAGAATCGGCAGAGTAGCAAGGCCTCACTGAGAGGTCGGAATCCAGATCGGAGGCCATCGAAATCGAATCGAATCGGATCGGAGGAATCGAAAGGAGCCCTGCTGCGGAAGGCCTCGTGGTGCGTGATGCCGACGAGGTGTGCTGGCGGCCGGCGCCGGCTGCTCCCAGGCGGGCAGGACAAACCGCTCTCCCCCTCAGTACCCGGCGGGCGCCGTAAAGCACTCGGGGGGCTGGTTGCGGACGACGTAGCCGTGGAACCAGAGGTTCATCGCGAGCTTGGTGAACTCGCCGCGCTCGCCGCGCGCGTTCGTGCTCCTCCAGGGGAACAAACCATGGCAGAAACACAAAAACTCGGAGTCCCGCGCGGATTTCTCGGATCGGCGCTGACCCCCCTCCATGGCGCGCGGAGCGCGCTAGGAGCGGCGCCGGAGGCGCCGCCAGAGGGTCCCGGCGCCGATCCGAGGAATCCGCGCAGACCTCAGAATTCGTATGTTTATGTCATTGTTTGTTCCCCTATCCTCACCGGCAGAGACGCGTGCTTGGCCCTGTCATCCCGCTTGCGGGGGTTGTCCGCCCTGACGTTGGTCCAGAGCACGGCGCTGCCCCTCCTCGGAGGAACCGTGAGGTTCAGACGCGGGAAGCTAGTCTCGCCACCGAAGCCATCGGGCACAGTGCTGAGGTACGTGAGCATCGTATAGATGCGGTGGCCCGGCGCCGACGAGCCAAACTCTCCGTCGGTGTCGAAGTGCTCGTTGTAGTAGGTGCCGCTCTTGTACCTTACCATCTGCATGAACTCGTGGGTTGGGAGGCCCAGGCCAGTGATGTTCATTGCAACCAGGTGCACCTGCCGAGCCCTCATGTCATTCTGGCAATCGGCCGAGGTGCAAGACATGGACTCGGAGGTGCGGTAGCCCTCCACCGATGGGCCGCCGGTCACACCGGAGGGCTCCCAGGGATATCGGCTGTCCTCGGCCACCGCACGCAGATCAGCCACCTGCTGCTCCGTCAAGAGCCTGCCAAAATGTATGACCCACGGGTCGCGAGAGAGAACCTTGCAGCCCCCCCAAATGAGGTACACGGCGGTCGAAAAAAGTAGGTAAAGCATGAAGCAGAAGACTGATAAAGTAGACTGGGTTCAGGCCCTCCCAGATAATAACACAACACAGCAAAAGCATATCGATTCTTGAAGTAGGAGCGTGGTGGAATTATATTGGGGTCTGTGAATCCAGAATTACCTACTTTCAACGACAAGCGTGCATGGATGGATCGATGTGTTCAGCCCTTCCGTTGTTCCCTCCATTTCGGCCCTCCAGGGGTCGTCGCCCTGGGGCCTTGGGACCATCAAACACTAATCTGGGACGGGCAACTGACCTCTGGGGAAAGTGGTGACCGCTGAGGCCCGTGGATTGAGAGAACGAATGTCTGGGGATGGGGTCGGAGGATCGCGCCGCACCGCCGATGCATCGACGATGTGGCGATTTGGAGCCCACCATGCTCTTCATCCCGAAGCCGTGGATACATCGCCGACGCCGCGGTAAGATCCCCCGACCCCATCTACTTGGGCCCCATGTGGGCACCCTGGAACCGTCGGCTCGTACTTCTTGGCCCACTCACTCTGCTCGATGCGCTCGAACATCGTGGCGACCGAGGTGTCCTGCAGCCCACCCCGGGTCTCCTTTCGCACGCACTTGACCTTTTCCTCCTTGATCTGGCTGCTCCCCTCGAGCTTCTTCTTCGTCTTCTTACCCCCTTCCCTGATCCTTCTCCTCTCCGCCCGGTGGAGCTTGCAGAGCTTGGGACAGGCACCCCACTGGTCTGGCGTGCACCGCTTCCCGAGAGCCACGCGCTGACAGCTCGCGTCCTTGTCGACGCAGTGGCCTCCGTGCAGCCTGCAGCTCTGCGCGCAGTGCCTCAGCATGAACTCGGGGTCCAGCTGGCACTCGCATGACCTCGCCCAGGCATCGCACCGGGCCTCGTCGCCGCCGCCCTCGCCGAGGCCGCAGTCTGGGCTCCCGGCAGGGCACGTCCCCTCGTCCTCCGCCTGGCAGCGCAGGGCCTGCTGGCAGCACTCCAGGGCGAGCGCGAGCACGGCCAGCCCGCGGGAGCGCATCCCGCAGGCTCGGCGCCGAGCACGCCCATCGCCGTGGCGGGCGCGCTGCGCTCGAGCCGTAGCGGCGGCGACGAAGACGTCCACGACCACGAGTGGCAGAGGAGGAGGAGGAGGAGGAGGAGGAGGAGGAGGAGGGAGGAGGGGAGGAGGGGGAGGGGGAGGAGGAGGACGTGGCGGAGGGGCCCTGGCTCTCGGAGTCCCGTTCGGGGTTCGCCCCAGGGGCGCGATGCGGGGCAAGTCGGGTCTCACTGGGGGGTGGGATTCTGCCCCCCTTTCCTCCCGCCCTCCTCCCCCCGGCCCCCCTGCGAGGTCATGCCCCCCTCCTCCCCCTGCCTCTCCTCCTCCTCCTCCTCCTCCTCCTCCTCCTCCTCCTCCTCCTCCTCCTCCTCCTCCCCTCCTCCTCCCTCCTCCTCCTCCTCCTTCCTCCTCCTCCTCCTCCTCCTCCTCCTCCTCCTCCTCCTCCTCCTCCCCTCCACCTCCGCCTCCGCCTCCCGCCTCCTCCTCCTCCTCTCCTCCTTCCCCATCCCTCCCTGCTCCTCCTCCTCCTCCTCCTCCTCCTCCTCCTCCTCCTCCTCTCCCCTCCTCCTCCCCCTCCTCCTCCCCCATTCCCCTCCTCCTCCTCCTCCGCCTCCTCCTCCTCCTCCTCCATTCCTTCTCCTTGTAGATAACTCCTCCCTGTCGCACCCAGAGGCCAGTTTTCAGGGCGGGCCGGGCGTTTCGCCTCGGACTTCCTCACCATTTATGACTTTGAAGCTAAAGATGTGGCAAGAGTTTCAAGGTTTGAAAGCGGGTCGTTTTCACAATGTGGCTCTCGCCTTTGCGCAGCGCGCATACGTCTTAAACATTTGCAAGACTTTCACGGGTTGAAGGCGGGTCGTTTTTTGAAACAGTGGCTCTCGCACATTCGTTTTAAACTTCTGCAAGAGCTTCACGGATTGAGGGTGGGTCGTTTTCAAAATGTGGCTCTCGCCTTAGCACCGCGTACATTCGCCTTTTTCTCAAAATGTGCAAGAGCTTCACGGATTGAGGGCGGGTGGTTTTCAAAATGTGGCTCTTGCCTAAGCGCCGCGCACATTCAATATAATAAATTGCAGGAGCTTCACGGATTGAGGGCGGGTGGTTTTCAAAATGTGGCTCTCGCCTCAGCGCCGCACACACTCGTTTTAAACATTGTACGAATTTCACGGATTGAGGGCGGGTGGTTTTCAAAATGTGGCTCTCGCCTCAGCGCCGCGCACATTCGCTTTAAAACTTTGCAAGAGCTTCACGGCTTGAAGCCGGGTGGTTTTCAAAATGTGGCTCTCGCTTGAGCGCCGCGCACATTCGTTTACACTCCTCCTCCTTCAAATCCTCCTCCTCCTCCTCCTCCTCCTCCTCCGCCTCCGCCTCCTCCTATCTCCTCCGCCTCCTCCTCCTCCGCCTCCTCCTCCACCTCCTCCTCCTCCAGGCACGCAGAAGCGGTCTGCTCGCGGCGCTGTCCGTTGGCCTCGGCTCTCGGCAGGGTGGCGTGCCCGGCTGCGCCGCATGAGCGGCTCTATTTAGAATCCTTCATTAGAATTCTCGCTCTCCTGCTCTTGGCTCCTGGCTACCCGCACCTGACTCGAATGGCGCTCTGAAGCCCGCGGCGCTTTCAGTGCGCGTGTCAACGTTTCGCTCCTGCGAGTTAGGGCTCGTCAAGACAAGCATTCGAGTGTTTACTCCTGCGTACAATGCTATACGGCAAACACAGACACATGCTCAACAGGGCACCCGTGTTTGATGACTGCTGCTTGCGCCGCAGGATCTCTGGACAGAGACGGCAGAAAAGGGCGGACAAATCTTGGCCCCCTCCCTGGAACGAGGGAGCGAAAGTAAACAACCCTGGGGCAGCACCTCATGACCATGTGAATATGCAGCGCTGGCGAAAGGCAGCCTTGTCGACTACCCATGCCGATGCGCATCCACATTGCGCGCCGAAGGCTGCTTTCAACCAACTCGTACGCCCATATAATGATCTGCCGATGGCCATGGGATCTGGCTCCCTCCTGCACTTCAGCTTGACATGGGATTTGTCTTGCGGGGGCTCACTCCATCCTCATCATCCCTCCCTCCCTCCTCCTTTCTCCTCCCTCCCTCCCTCCCTCCCTCCCTCTTTACTCCTCCCTGCTCCCTCCTCCTCCGCCTCCTCCTCCTCCTCCTCCCCCTCCTCCTCCTCCTCCTCCTCCTCCTCCTCCTCCTCCCCTTCTCCTCCTCCTCCTCCTCCTCCTCCTCCTCCTCCTCCCCCTTCTCCTCCTCCTCCTCCCTCCTTCTCCCTCGCTCCCACGTTCCTCCTCCCTGCTCCCTCCTCCGTCCCTCCCTCCCTCCCCCTTCCTCCTCCCTCCTCCCTCCCTCCCTCCCCCTTCCTCCCTTCCCCTCCTTCTCCCTCCCTCCCTCCCTGTTCCCTCCTCCCTCCCTCCCTCCCTGCCGCCCGCCACGCCGCCGCTGCCCGCCGCCGCCGTCGTCGCCTCCTTCCTTCCGTCCTTCCTGGGGGGATCCTTTGATGGTCCTGAGTACTTCGGCGGGCTTTCTGAGGAAGAGAAACATTAGCCTGGCGAAGGACCCAACCATGCCCATCGGTCGGAAGAAGTAGGTCGAGACATGAAGTAGGAAAGCGTTGGAAGTAGATTGGGTGTCCGCCCGCTCCCTGAAGAGAACGGAAAAGGTGAAGCCACTTGAGTATTGAAGTAGGAAGGCGCCCAACGTAGATTGGAACCTGGGGGGATCATTTGATGGTTCTGGGTAATTCGGAAGGCTTTCGGAGCGTGCGGGGAGTACCCCCCGACGGGGGTCAACCTCGCTTCGTCGTCGCGCCGCGACGGGGGTCGGAGCGCCTTCGGCGCGCCATGGCTGACCGCGACGGGGGTCGATGTGGGGCTGTCGGCGGGGGCGACGCCCCCCCGACGCTATTGAAGAAACTCGACATACAAGCGTGAGTACCGCAATTGTGAGTACAGTCTCGAATGAAACTCCCTATGGGGTGCAACGCCCGCATGCGGGCAGTGCCGCTGGGGCCTTCGGTGGAACTCCCTGTGGAGCCACGAAGCGTGTCAGGGTGTGCCGGAACGAGGGTGTCGCCCACATGCGGGCTGCGCCTCTGGGGCCTTCGATAGAGCTCCCTGTGGGGCAAGGAAACGTGTGAGGGGTGTGCCAAACAAAGGGATGTCGCCCACATGCGGGCTGCGCCACTGGGGCCTTCGGCGGATATCTCCCTCTGGGGCAACGAAACGTGTGAGGGGTGTGCCGGAAAAAAGATGTCGCCCACATGCGGGTGGTGCCACTGGGGCCTTAGGTGGAGCTCCCTGTGAGGCCCCGAAACGTGCGAGGGGGGTACTGAAACGGCGGTGTCGCCCACATGCGGGCGGCGCCACTGTGGCCTTAGGTGGAGCTCCCTGTGAGGCCCCGAAACGTGCGAGGGGTGTGTCAACCGGGGATGTCGCCCACATGCGGGTGGTGCCACTGGGGCCTTCGGTGGAGCTCCCTGTGGGGCCACGAAACAAGTGAAGTGCGTGCCCAAACGGGGTGTCGCCCACATGCGGGCGGCGCCGCTGTTGCTGTAGGTGGAGCTCCCATATGAGGCCGCGAAACGTGTGAGGGGTGTGGCCAAACGGGGGTGTCGCCGCCAGGCGGGCGGAACCACTGGGGCCTTCGGTGGAGCTCCCCATGTGGCCACGAAACGTGTGAGGGGTGTGCTGAAACGGGGGTGTCGCCAACATGATATGGGGGCTGCGCCACTGGGGCCTTCGGCGGAGCTCCCTATGGGGCCACAAAACGTGTGAGGGGTATGCCGAAACGGGATGTTGCCCACATGCGGACGGCGCCACTGGGGTCTTAGGTGGAGCTCCCTATGGGGTGACGATGCTGATGATGATGATGCTGCTGCTGATGATGATGCTGATGCTTATGATTTTGTTGTTGATGGTGGTGATGATGATGACGATGACGATCATGATGATACTGATGCTGGTGTTGGTGCTGATGCTGATGCTGGTGAATCATGATGATGACAATGATAATAATGCTGATGCTGATGAGTATGTTGCATATGGTGCTGGAGGTGCTGACGACAATGTTGATGATGATGCTGATGATGATCATTATGATGATGCTGACGATGATGCTGATGGTGCAGATGATGATGTTGATGGCGGAAATGATGCTGCTGCTCATGATGATGACATGACGATGACCTGATGATGACCTGATGATGGTGATGCTGATGCTGATGCTGATGCTGATGCTGATGATGATGATGATGTTGATGCTGATGACGATGATGATGAGAGGAGGAGGAGGAGGAGGAGGAGGAGGAGGAGGAGGAGGAGGAGGAGCAGGAGGAGGAGGAGGCGGATTTGATCAGCGATCCCATAGGGCCTGAACGATTTGAATCAAAACCAAAAGGAGCTTGCCGAAATCGCGGCAGCTCTGATTGCGACTCTATCGAGACCTGTTTGCAGTCCTTGCTGCAGCCTCGGCCTCGCGAGCCGCCACACGTGCCCATACGTGCCCGGAGCGCCAAGATTGCCTGGGGTAGATACGGCTCCAGAGGTGGGCGTAGGCAAGCTGACATCACGAGGCGGGGGTTGCTAAGCAGCGTGACAGAAGAAGGCCACACCTCGCCTCGTGCTTTCACTGACCGTGGCTGTTTCGCGGTAGTGAGGGATACAAGCCAGAATAAATTCCGCGCAGAATGGTGGGAGGGAAATGCCCTTTTCGGACCCGACAGGCCCCCTTTGGGTCCCTAAGAGGCCCCTGTAGGGGCCCTGAAGGACCCCTTTTCTGCAGCCCTCGCTGCCCCCCCATTACGCGCCCTCCGAAAAATACGGTCGACCGTGGTCCCGGTACCGTACTGTTAACGCGCAGCCCTGGTGCCGTACCAATGCCAATACTCTGGGGTCCTGCTACCTTACCGCCGCTACTACCGTGGCTGTAAAGAATTAACACGAAAACCATTCGTAACGTTGAACTCCGCCATGCAAAGAGATAGAACACAACCTCGGCGTAACCCGCAACGGGTGAAGGAAAAGTTCTTCCGTGGTTCGCGTTTATTTTTTACATTTTCATTGGCTGACAGACATCTTACCGAAGTATTCTTCCTGAGGCCTTTGAATGGCGAAATCCAACGTTACGAATTGATTTCGCGTTAATTCTTTACATCCCCGGTAGCACTGGCAAGAATAACCGGACACACCTAGTTAACCGTACCGGCACCGTGGCGTGTTAAACGAGAGCCCAGCTTCGGAAGGTCCCGGGGCCCGTGGAGGGCCCTATGAGGCCCGCAAGCGGTCGACGTCGTCGTCGCCGCCGACGTCGTCGACGGCATCCTCTGGCGGCCAGCTCCACGCGCACACGCAGTCTGGCCCGCAGCGGCGCCGGTCGGCGCGGCGCCGCGTGGAGCAGCTGCCGGCGGGATCGCAGAGGCGTGGCAGACAGGTGACCTCCTTCAGGACCCATCCCGTGGCGGCGCGCAGCGGGGGATGTGGGGGGAGGGGAGGTGGCTTCTTGGAAGGAGGCTACTTCTCAGGAAGGCGATGGCCTGACCTCTGTAGGTAAGGCCCGCGCCTTCTAAGGGGCAGCGGTGCTTCTGAGAAGTCTTCCCCACTCCCCTGATTAGCAATAAAAGGACCCCTAATTCTTTGGGAAGAGGACCAGAAGCATCAGGGACAGGGTCTCTTCTGCAGATGTATCGGACCAAACCGCCCAGATGTATTATCCCTAATGCGAAGACGGGGAACTGAGTGAGGCTACGTCCTCACTGTGCCATCAAGGCTACGGGGTTCTGCTGTCCTCGGTGATCCCCCCCCACCCCCCACCTGCGCGCGGCCGAGCCTCCGTAGTGCGTGATGCTGACGAGGTGTGGCGGCCAGCGCCGGCCGCTCCCATGCGGGCAGGGCAGAGCCGCCCCCTCAGTATCCGGCGGGCTCGCTGCACTCGGGGGGCTGGTTGCGGACGACGTAGCCGTGGAACCAGAGGTTCATCGCGAGCTTAGTGAACTCGCCGCGCTCGCCGCGGGCGTTCGTGCTCCTCACTGGCAGGGACGCGTGCTTGGCCCTGCTATCCCGCTTGCGGGGGTTGTCCGCCCTGACGTTGGTCCAGAGCACGGCGCTGCCCCGCTTCGGGGGAACCGTGAGGTTCAGACGCGGGAAGCTGGTCTCGCCACCGAAGCCATCGGGCACAGTGCTGAGGTACGCGAGCATCGTGTAGATGCGGTGGCCCGGCGCCGACGAGCCAAAGTCTTCGTCGGTGTCGAAGTGCTCGTTGTGGTAGGTGCCGCTCCTGTACCTCACCATCTGCAAGAACTCGTGGGCCGGGAGGCCCAGGCCCGTGATGTTCATGGCCACGAGGTGCGCCTGCCGAGCCCTCAGGTCCCGTTGGCAGTCGCCCGAGGTGCAGAGCAGGGACTCGGAGGTGCGGTGGCCCTCTGCCGATTGGCCGCCTTCCAACGCAGAGGGCACCCAGGGGTATCGGCTGTCCTCGGCCACCGCACGCAGATCAGCCACCTCCTGCTCGGTCAAGAGCCTGCCAAAGTGTATGATCCACGGGTCGCGGGACAGAACCTTTGCAGCCCGCCCAAATGAGGCATGGATGGATCGATGTTTTCAGCCCGTCCGTTCTTCCCCACCATCCTGTGGTGTTGGGTCTTCGCTTCTAGTCATTCCTTCCTTCCCTCCCGCTGCCCTCCCTCCCTCCCTCCCTCCTCAATCTCTGTCATCCCTGCCCCTGCTTCCCGCATCAGTCAACGAGTTCGGCACATCCTTCGCGCGTCTCCCCAGTGGCCGCGGCCGCATGCGCCCGCGCCACACAGTACAGCGTGTCGTGGCCCCATAGGAAGCTCCACCGAAGGGCCCAGTGGCCGCGGCCGCATGTGTCCGCGCCACCCAGTACAGCGCTTCGTGGCCCCCAGGGGAGCCCCACCGAAGGTCACAATGGCCGTACTCGCATGCATCCGCGCCACCCAGCACAGCGCTTCGTGGCGCCATGGGGAGCCCCACCGAAGGCCCCAGTGGCCGCGGCCGCACGCGTCCGCGCTACCCAATACAGCGTGTCGTGGCCTTATGAGGAATCCCACCGAAAACACCAATGTGGCCGCGGCCGCATGCATCCGCGCGGCCCAATTCAGCGCTTCGTGGCCCCATCGGGACCTCATGCATGCTGCCGCGGCCACTGGGACCCCCAGTGGCGGCGGCAGCATGCATCCGCGCAACCCAGTACAGCGTGCCGTGGCCCCATAGGGAGCTCCACCAAAGGCCACAATGGCCGCGGCCGCATGCGCACGCGCAACCCAGTACACATGTCGTGGCCCCATCGGGAGCCCATCCGAAGACCCCAATGACAACGGCCGCATGCGTCCGCACCACCCAGCAAAACGCTACGTGGCAACACAAGGGGGAGCTCCACCGGAGGCCCCAATGGCCGCGGCCGCATTCGTCCGCGTCACCCAGTGCAGCGTGTCGTGGCCTCATAAGGAGCTCCACTGGCCACGGCCGCATGCGTCCGCACCACCAACTACAGCGTGTCGTTGCCAAATCGGGAGCTCCACCACAGGTCCCACTGGTCGCGGCAGCATGTGTGCGCGTTGCCACATACAGCGCTTCGTGGCCCCATAGGGAGCTGCACCGAAGGCCCCAACGGTCGCGGCCGCATGCGTCCGCGCCACTCAACACGGCGTGTCGTGGCCCCACGGGGAGCTCCAGCGAAAGCCCCAATGACCGCGGCCGCATGCGTTCCCGCCACCGAGTACAGCGCGTCGTGGCACCGTCGGGGGCCCCACCGAAGGCCCCAATGGCCGCGGCCGCATGCGTCCGCGCCGCCCAGCACAACGCTTCGTGGCCGTATAGGGGGGAGCCCCACCGAAGGTCCCCATGGCCGCTGCCGTATGCGCCCGCGCCAGCCAGCAGAGCCACCGAAGGCCCCAACGGCCGCGGCCGCATGCGTCCGCGCAACCCAGTACAGCGCTTCGTGGCTGCATAAGGGGCTCCACCGAAGGCCCCAGTGGCCGTACTCGCATGCGTCCGCGCCACCCAGCACAACGCTTCGTGGCCCCCTAGAGAGCCCCACCGAAGGCCCCAGTGGCCGCGGCCGCATGCGCCCGCGCCACACAGTACAGAGTGTCGTGGCCCCTAGCGAGCTCCACCGAAGGCCACAATGGCCGCGGCCAGACGCGTCCGCGCCACCCAGTACACCGTGCCGTGGCCCCACAAGGAGCTCCACCGAAGGCCCCAATGGCCGCGGTCGCATGCGTCCGCGCCACCAAATTCAACGTTGCGTGGCCGCATAGGGAGCTCCACCGGAGGCCCCAATAGCCGCGGCCGCATGCGTCAGCACCACCGGCCCCAATAGCCGCGGCCCCAATAGCCCGGCCGCATGCTTCAGCGCTTCGTGGCCCCATCGGGAGCTCCACCGAAAGCAGCAGTGGCCGCGGCCGCATGCGTCCGCGCCGCCCAGTGCATCGCTTCGTGGCTCCATAGGGAGCTCCACCAAAAGGCACCAATGACAGCGGCCGTATGCGCCCGCGCCACCCACTACAGCAGGTCGTGTACCCTTAAGGAGCCCCACTGGGGGCCCCACCGAAGGCCCCAGTGGCCGCGACCGCATGCTCCCGAGCCACCCAGTACAGCGCGTCGTGGCCACCTTGGGAGCTCCACCGAAGGCCCCAGTGGCCGCGGCCTCATGCGTCTGCGTCACCCAATACATCGCTTCGTGGCCTCATAGGGAGCTCCACCAAAAGGAACCAATGACAGCGGCCACACGCGTCCGCGCCACCCGATACAGCGTGTCGTGTCCACATCGGGTGCTCCATCAAAGACCCCAATGGCCGCGCCCGCATGCGCCCGAGCCACGCGGCACAGCACGTCGTGGCCCCTTGGGAGCTCCACCGAAGGCCCCAGAGGCCGCGACCGCATGCGTCCGCGCCACCAAATGCAGCGCGCCGTGGCCCCATCGGGGGCTCCACCGAAGGGCCCCAGTGGCCACGGCCGCATGCGTCCGCGCCACCCAGCACAGCGCTTCGTGGCCCCATAAAAAGTTGCACTGAAGGCCCCAATGGCCGTGCTCGCATGCGCCCGCACCACCCAGCACAGCGCGTCGTGGCCCCACAGAGAGCTCCACCGAAGGCGCCAATGACAGCGGCCGCCACCCAGCACAACGTGTCGTGGCCCCACAGGGAGCTCCACCGAAGGCCCCAATGGCCGCGGCTGCATGCGTCCGCGCCACTGTGTACAGCGCGTCCTGGCCCCATCGGGGGCTCCACCGAAGGCCCCAATGGCCGCAGCCGCATGTGTCCGCACCACCCCATACAGCGCTTCGTGGATCCATAGGGAGCTGCACCGAAGGCCCCGATGACCACGGCCGCTTGCGTCCGCGCCGCCAAGCACAGCGTGCCGTGGCCCCCTAGGGAGCCTCACCGAAGGCCCCAAAGGCCGCGGCCGCATGCGCCCGCGCCACCCAGCACAGCGTGTCGTGGCCATATAGGGGGCTCCACCGAAGACCCCAGCAACCGCGGCCGCATGCGTCCGCGCCGCCCAGCACAGCGCGTCGTGGATCCATGGGGAGCTCCACCGAAGGCCCCACCGAAGGCCCCAATGGCCGCGGCCGCATGCGTCCGCATCACTCAATACATCGCTTCGTGGCTTCATAGGGAGCTCCACCATGAGACCGGCCGCATGCGCCCGCGCCACCCACTACAGCAGGTCGTGGACCCTTAGGGTTCCCCACTGGGGGCCCCAATGGCCGCGGCCGCATGCGCCCGCGCCACCCAGCACAGCGTGTCGTGGCCCCATCGGAAGCTCCACCGAAAGCCCCCGTGGCCGCGACCGCATGCGTCTGCGCATGCGTGACGTTGCCCCATGGGGAGCTCCACCGAAGGACCCAGCGGCCGCGGCCGCATGCGTCCGCGCCGCCAAGCACAGCGTGCTGTGGCCCCCTAGGTAGCCCCACCGAAAGCCCCAATAACCGCGGCAGCATGCGCCTCCCTCCCGGTACAGGACACCCTCCACGCGTTCCGTGTGGCTCCGTAGGGAACTCCACCGCAAGCGGTGCCCACGACGCGGTGCCCACGACTGAACAAAGGTTGGGCCCTTCGCCATGACAGCCCTCCCACGGGGCCGCCGTCCTGGGACCATCCAACACTGCTCTGGGACGAACAGCTGCCCCCCGGGGGGAAGTGGTCGAGACCTCGGGGGCCCGCGGGTGGACAAGATGTTGTCGAACGTCCTGGGATGGGGTCGGCGGATCGCACCGCACCGCCGATGCATCGACGATGCGGCAATCTGGAGCCCGATGTTCTTCATCCCGACGGCATCGATACACCGCCGAGGCATCGGCGGTGCGGTGTGATCCCCCGACCCCATCTACTTGGGCCCCATGTGGGCACCCTGGAACCGTCGGCTCGTACTTCTTGGCCCACTCACTCTGCTCGATGCGCTCGAACATCGTGGCGACCGAGGTGTCCTGCAGCCCACCCCGGGTCTCCTTTCGCACGCACTTGACCTTTTCCTCCTTGATCTGGCTGCTCCCCTCGAGCTTCTTCTTCGTCTTCTTACCCCCTTCCCTGATCCTTCTCCTCTCCGCCCGGTGGAGCTTGCAGAGCTTTGGGCAGGCACCCCACTGGTCTGGCGTGCACCGCTTCCCGAGAGCCACGCGCTGACAGCTCGCGTCCTTGTCGACGCAGTGGCCTCCGTGCAGCCTGCAGCTCTGCGCGCAGTGCCTCAGCATGAACTCGGGGTCCAGCTGGCACTCGCATGACCTCGCCCAGGCATCGCACCGGGCCTCGTCGCCGCCGCCCTCGCCGAGGCCGCAGTCTGGGCTCCCGGCAGGGCACGTCCCCTCGTCCTCCGCCTGGCAGCGCAGGGCCTGCTGGCAGCACTCCAGGGCGAGCGCGAGCACGGCCAGCCCGCGGGAGCGCATCCCGCAGGCTCGGCGCCGAGCACGCCCATCGCCGTGGCGGGCGCGCTGCGCTCGAGCCCGCGCCTCCCTCTCCTCGGCCCTCCCAGGGCGCCCCGCGCGTCGCGCCGTGGGGCATCACTGCGCTGGACCTCCCAGGAGAGGCTGCACGGTGGCGACAGTTTGCCCGGCGGCACCCGAGGAAGGCGAGAGGCAGGGAGTGAGGGGGGGGCAGGACGGAGGGGAGGGGGCGGGAGAGGAGAGGGGACAGAGATGATGCATGTGCCTCCAGACGAGGACCCAACACAGGCTAGTTGGGAGAAGTCCGCCGATCTGGCGTGTGAGTCTCAAAGAGCATACAGCCTGAGATTGAGCTCTGCTGGGGGGGGGGGGCGGGGGGAGGCTCTGCCGGAGAAAAGGAGTGGGGGGGCTCCAACCGCAGGAAGAAGGGTGCCTCGGCGGCTTGGCTGGGGAAGGGGGGATGGCCGCAGAGGCCGCCAAGACAGTCCAAGAGAGCTCCCACACGCCCAAAATGGCCCCCAAACGGACCAAAACGCCCCCAAGAGACCCCAAGAGCGCTCCAAGATACGCTCCAGAGGGCCCCACGACGCAGAAAGCATTGATCTCCCTTTGGTTTTCCCACATGTTTTGGGGGTTCTCGCCTTTTCGAGCTGCCGACGCTCCAAGACGGCCCAAGAGGCCCCCGAGACCGCCCGAAGACAACCGAAGAGGGCCCCAAGAAGGCTCCAAGACGACCCAAAAAGGCCCATAAACGGCCCAAGAGGCGCCCAAGACGCCGCATGAGGGCTCCAGACAGTCCTAAGAGGGGCCCAAGAAGGGGAACACGAACCGACGATTCAAGCCTTTCGCCCCAAAAGGTCCGCAGGAAGCCCCAACCACAAGAGGCCCCCGAGAGGCCCCAACAGGCCCCGAGAGACCCCCAAGAGGTGCCCAAACGGACCCCAAGAGGCTTCAAAACTGCCTCCCAGAGGCCCCCGAGAAGCTTCCCAGGAGATCCCACCGAACCTCCAAAGAGCCTCGGACCCACAACCCAGGCACGGTGGCGGGACGTTTTGAAGGCAAGATAATCTTGTACAGTCAACCCGTACCTATACGACCGCCCTGCGGGCGATAAGGAGGTTTTGGGGGGGGATTGAAATCAAATGCCCACCCAGACTGACCTCAAGACTGTCACCTTGATCTCATCTCTCTCTTTCTCTCTGTCTCTCTCTCTCTCTCTGTCTCTCTCTCTCTCTCTCTCGCCCTCTCTCTCTCTCTCTCCCTCTCTATCAGAGTCTCCTTCCACGACAATGAAGATCGCGATGACGATAACATCCCACTATCTACCTATCCGTCGACCGACCTATCGGTGAATCTCACTGTCGCAGTCTGCCGCGATCGCGCCCAGGCGCCGACAAAAATGAAGTGATGGATTAGGTTGGGTGGATTGGATTGGATGGGATAAGATGCATTGGATAAGGCAAGATGGGTTGGATTGGAAGAGATGGGTTGGATAAGATAAGATGGATTGGATTCGCCCGCCGCAGGCGCAGAAACAAATGAATTGATGGATTGGGTTGGATGGATTGGATTGGGTGGGATAAGATAAGATGGAACAAGATGGGTTGGAAAAGATAAGATGGATTGGATTGGACAAAATGGATTGGATAAGATAAGCTGGATTGGATAAGAAAGCCCGCCGCAGGCGCCAAAAAAAATGAATTGATGGATTGGGTTTGGTGGATTGGATTGGATAAGATGGATTGGATAAGATAAGATGGGTTGGATTGGAAGAAATGGTTTGGATAAAATAAGATGGATTGGATTGGCCCGCCGCAGGCGCAGAAACAAATGAATTGATGGATTGGGTTGGGTAGATTGGATTGGGTGGGATAAAATAAGATGGGACAAGATGGGTTGGATAAGATAATATGGATTGGATTGGACAAGATGGATTGGAGAATATAAGCTGGATTGGAGAAGAAAGCCCGCCGTAGGCGCCGAAAAAAGGAATTATGGAATTCGCGACATGTGTTAGTGCCGGGACGCCCGGGACATCGCCCGGCCCAACTGGGACACCTCCCTGTCACCGGCGGACGGGAAACGGACTTTCGCTCCTACTGACACCTGGGACACCCGGGACACCGCCCGGCCCAACTGGGACACCTACGAGCCACTGGCGGACGGGAACGGACTTTTGCTCCTACTTCGGCCTAGCTACAGGAGGATCACGCGCAACTTCGCCTCGCCCGCACGCACGACACGAACACGAAACCGAAACCGGTTTCCCGGTGGGGGGTCTCCGTTTCACTGCGATCTCACCCCCCAACCTCCGATCATAAGGATGCGCGGTAAGGATGCAAGCGCCTTGGAGGGCCATGTTGGCGTTTTTCGAGCGAGGCTGGCAAGCGAACGTCGCTAAGGATGGGCCGACGGGCCAAGGATGCAACGGTAGTACCCTTGGGAAGGTTGCCCATCCTTACCATGCGGGTTGACTGTACGTCAACATTGTGGATTAATTAGGTCACATGGCGCGTGGCTACGGTGATCAGGGCAAAAACGAATGGTACTGCACCGCTCGGAAGAAGCTCCGCTGCACGGGAGGATAAGTACGTCCTCTTCGTTAACCCACGAAGCGCTGGTACGGCCTGGGGCTCAAACGGTACGGCCAACCCGTATCGTAAGGATGCTCGGTAAGGATGCAAGGGCCTTGGAGGGCCATGCTAACGTTTTTCGAACGAGGTTTACCAGCGAAAGCCGCTAAGGATTGGCCGCAGGCGCAAGGATGCCAGGGCACCCTTGGGAACATTGCCCATCCTCACCATGCGGGTTGACTGCATGGCATGCGGCACGGAGTGGGGACGGCAGAGATTACATGTACAAAGTCCTAGGTGCGCTGCAGCCTCCTCGTCAGCATCGAATTGTTGGCTGCGGCCGTCGGGACTTGGCGATTCACCCCCACGATCACAAAATGAGTCCTGGATGGCACTTCCCTGGGTGCTTGCTCATGTCCTGCATTGTTTAGGAATGTGTAACCACTTCGCACGGCATATATTATCACTGGATGCGCGAGCGTAGCTGCTCGAGGCGGCGAACTAGACCTGACCAAACGAATGGGCCTAGAACACATCTTGAGTCGGGCGTCAGCACCGGTGGCCTGGAGATCATTTCCCTGCGGTGAGCCGCTCAGTGCTCCAGTGCCTCGATCCATGTCGAGAATTCCTCCTCGAATCAGCCCGCTGGCATGACACCCGTGTGGATCTGCGCGCTGCTCTCGCACCTCAGCGCGTTAAGGATGAGGTTGCGCCAGTCCCAAGACGTCATGGCTAGAGAAGGTGAGCGTTTTTTATTCGGCGTTTCGAAATTGGGCGGAAGGGGGGGGGGGAGAAGGGGGTCTGGCTCTGGACCTCCGCTTAGTGCGACTGTTTGGTACCGTGCGTCCTATGGGGTATGGACTCCACCTGCTCGAAACAGGCGCCAAAAAACAGCCAAGATCCACTCCAGGGGGGACGGGAGGGGGGGTGCGAGGGCCCGCGCCGATCGGCAAAACGAGGAAGAACAAAAACGATCACATGGTTAGAGAAAACGGGAAGGATCAGCATCAGACGAAAATATTCACGCTACGACCCGCGCTGTGCCACCCACCTATGCGCCGAGCCGCTGGAGAACCGGCTCGCCAACAAGCTGCTCGATAGACGGACACGAGGCAAACACTCCATCCAAGACAGACTGCCTAAAGCGACTGCCTACATCCTCCTCCTCCTCCTCTTCTTCCTCCTCCTCCTCCTCTTTTTCCCCCTCCACCTCCTCCTCCTCCTCTTCCTCCTCCTCCTCCTCCTTCTCCTCCTCCCTCCCTCCCTCCCTCCCAACCTCCCTCCTCATCCTCCCGCCCTTCTGATCCCCCCTCTTACCTCCTCGAAGTACAGCTCGCAAGCGAACAATCAAGCAAGGCGAATTCGCACGGAGCGTCCCGGAACGCCCCAGAGCGTCCCAGAGCCTCCCGGATCGGCGGCACAGGCCGGAGGCCTCCACAATAACTCGAACGGGCGACACAACAATTTCCAAAACCTGGGTTCTCGAGCCTCGAATCATCCCCTCCGCCATCAAGCCTCGAACGCGCTTTGGAGTGCACTGACGTTCTTTGAATACTGAGTCCTCAGGCGTGAAGGGCCCTAAGATGCCCCAGGAACGGTTCAAGGGGCCATCGGAAATGGCCCCAAATCCTTCCAAAACGGCCCGACATGTCCTCAATACAGCCCCAAGGGTACCCAAGACTCCCCGAAAGGGCTCCAAAAGACCCCCCCCCCTTTATCAGGGTATGTTTTTCAATGTGTGGGAAAGATCTTATCATGTTCGATGTCTCTGACTTCCAACGCTCCAGGACGGCCCAAGAGGCCCCAGAGCCTGCCCGAGGACGGCCCACGAGGTCCCCCAAGCAGCCCAAGGCTCCTGCTCCTGCCTGCCTACCTGCCTGCTGCGGCTCCCCCTCACGCGGCCCTCGCGTCTATACCGCGCCCTCGCAGACCCGCTCGCGCGAGGGGGGCGGTCCCGATGCCGCGCTGCCGCCTTCCGCTTGCTAGGCCGGCTGGTACGCGTCGGTGACTTTGGGCCTCCCGAGCCCTCGCGCACATACCCGAGCTAAGACAAAGCCAAAACGAGGATAAATTCGGGTGAGGATAAAATCGAGAATCTCTGAGATCCGGCGGCTCTGGAGGATGTCTCGGGCGCCGCGGCCTTCTCACGCCGTTCCGGAACGCTCTGAGAGCGTTCCGGAATGCTCTGGAACGGATTCATCCTCGTCCTAGCCCCTAGCCCCGTCCGACGAACTCCCTTCTCCTCCATCCTCCCACAATCCGCATCCCATTTTCCCCCTCATTCCTAGCTCCTTCTCCCTGGCCTCTTCCCCTCCGGTCCGGGCAAACGTCTTGTGGGCGCAGCCGCTGGCTCACACAAACCAGCTTGGGCAGCCTGCTTCTGCGCGCATCCTTGAGCACGTCCTCCTCCTCCTCCTCCTCCTCCTCCTCCTCCTCCTCCTCCTCCTCCTCCTCCTGTTCCTCGTGCTTCTGCTCCTCATCCTCCTCTTCCTCCTCTTCCTCCTCTCCTCCTCCTCCTCCTCCTCCTCTCCTCTCCTTCCTCCTCCTCCTCCTCCTCCTCCTCCTCCTCCTCCTCCTCCTCCTCCTCCTCCTCCTCCTCCTCCCCCCCCCTCCTCCCTCCTCCTCCTCAGCGCCAGCTGGCACGAGCCGCCGCTCTGCGCCAGCCAGCGCCATCGGCGCTTCCCCGCGCCGCCTCCCCGCGCTCCCCTGCTCCCGTCCCCTCGGCCGCGCTATGGAGGCGCCTCCCGCGGCCACCGCAAGCCGCCGCAGGCCGCCGCGGAAGGCTACCGCGCGTCGCGCGCAGTACACGAGGGCCGAGGCGCGCGCGTCAGAACACCTTCTGCGCGCCTTCGCAGCCCTCACCAGCCATCGTGGCCGCCAGCCATCGCAGCTGGCCCAGGCGGTGGCCTCGGCGCTGGCGGCGGCGCCAACGCCCTCTGCGCAGCGGGGCGCAGCGGCCTCTCCCTCTCCGGATGCTGTCGCTCCCGGTGCCCATGGAGGCGACGCGGCGGCTGCAGTCCCCTCGTCTCCGCTGGCAGCGGGACCAGCGGCCATGGCTGCCGAGGCGGGCTTTCCAGACCACGGGGTTCTCGGTCAGCGGCTGGCGGCAGCGGGCGACGACGTGGTGGTCCCGGAGGGCGAGTTCACCTCCCCCTCTGCCCCCCCCTCTGCACGGCCTCCTTTTCTTCCCCGCGGCACCCCAATCCCAGGCTTTCCGCCTAGGACGCGGGCGGAGGCTGATCCAGGCCCCAGCCCTGCCACTGCTCTAGGCCTCGCGCAGGGCTTATGCCCGCCACCATTTTTTCGGCAAGTCTCTGTACCTTCACGGCCGTCAAGGCCAGTACCACTCCCAGTACGCCCTGCAGCGCCAGCGCCGCCAGCACCTTCACGGCCGACAGGGCCGGTGCCAGTACCCTCACGCCAGCCAGAAGCAGTGCCAGTGTCAGTGCCGTCGCCAGTGCAGCCATCATGTACGCCACCGGGGATCACAGCAGCGGAGGCGAGGGCCTGCCGCGCGGTGCTGTCAGCCTCGAGTAATCTGTTCGCGGCCCCGCAGCAGTCACAGGCAGACCCAGTGCCAGGGGCGCAGCTGCCGAGCCCCACTGTGCAGAGTCCGCCACGCCACGACGACTCTAGGCCCTTTTTCACCTGTACCCCAGCACGTGCCGCCTTGGATGCAGCGGCCGCAGCGCGGCGCGTTGCCGCATTTGCCGCGCACCAGTCTCCGCCATAGGCGGCTCGAGTCACCAGCCATCCTCCAGAGCTCAGCCAGTTTTTCCCGCCGAAGGCGGAAAGCCAGAGCACGGAGGGGGATGGGCAGGTATGGCAGTTTTTTGCGGCAGGTCTGGCTGCCCTCTCTGGCCTTCGCGCACAGCTACTTTGCACAGCTCGGCCTCTCCTGAAAGACGGGGTGGAGCCCACATGGGAGGGGTCGGCCACGCCCTCCTGAAAGACGGGGTCGAGCCCACATGGGAGGGTGTGGTGCCAGCGCCAACTGGCTTCGGACCTTTTTCGCGGGCCGGCAAGGCAGCAATCTCTGGCACTTGCGAACAGCTACTCTGTACAGCACCAGGCCCCTCCTGAAAGACGGGGTCGAGCCCACATGGGAGGGGTCGCCCGGGCCCTCCTGAAAGACGGGGTCGAGCCCACATGGGAGGGCTCGGCGCTGGCGTTTTGAAGGCCAGCAAGCAGCCCTGGCTTCTTCCTACCCAGCGCGGCCTCGCGGCACACCTTCCACTGCTTACTTGTATAGCCCCAGGCCTCTCCTGAAAGACGGGGTCGAGCCCACATGGGAGGGGCCTGCCGTGCCCTCCTGAAAAACGGGGTCGAGCCCACATGGGAGGGCGCGGCACTCGCGCACGGCACGCAAGCACACAGGCCCTGGCTTTTTCACCGCAGCGCGGCCTCACGGGGAACCCCCGCCCTTCTCCAGTCCAGCACTCCTCCCCTGGAGGTTTGGACAGCCGCACGGCGGCCTGGCCAATTTGGCCCTCCTTCCAGCTCTTCCCTCTCCTTCAGCCGACCGCAACCTGGACGGCACACCTAGGCAGGTTTCTCCTTTTTCCAGCCTTGTACTGCTCTTTGCCTCGAGGGCTGCCCTGCTATGGGCAACGAAGCAGGGCTCCGCTGATGTCTCTCTTCGCACGGAGCTGCAAACTCCTCCTCTCTCTTATAAGATTCCTCTCTTCCCCTCCAGCAGCGCCAATACCTCTCTCCCGACAATTTTCGGGACGAGAGCGGAAGCAGCTCAGCGTACATGTTTTCGGGTTTCTCGTGTGCAGCCTGTGCCAGTCCTGTTGGCTTCAGCGCTCAAGCTACTTGCAACGAGCTCAGTGCAGTCAAAAAGCCTCCTCCTCATCCTCCTCCTTCTCCTCCTGCTCCTCCTCCTCCTCCTCCTCCTCCTCCTGCTCCTCCTGCTCCTCCTGCTCCTCCTCCTCCTCCCGCTCCTTCCCCTGCTTCTCCTCCTCCGCAGCCTCCTCCCTCTTTGCTTGGGGCCAGGGTCCTCCCCCATGGGGGGGAGTCCCTGGTCGCCGCCCGTTGCGCGGTCCCACCGCGACGCACATGCTCCTGGGGGACTCTGCGAAGCAGCCTGCGAGGCCAAAGGGGAGGCTCCTGTGAGGCACTCGCAGAGGCACTGGTAAGAATCACCCCGACACGCGAAGCCGTTTAGTAAATGCACCCGAAGAAGAAATCGAACAAGGCAAGGCTGTTCATTAAACGCCCAAAGCCGTCCCGTAAACGCCAGATATCGGGTCCAAGTGGTTTTTCCTCCCTTGAGCTGGGACGCTCCTGAGAGGTCCTTCCACAGCCCTGGCTTGCCCGCGGGAGGCCGGGAGAATCCGCGAGGGGCTGGGTGTGAGGAGGCCCTGCGAGGCTCACTGGATGCCCTGCGAGGCCCCCCGGGTTGCGGGAGGGCGTCTTGACGCACCCGAGGGAGCGCCTTAACAACGTGGAATTTTCTGGCGGCGTCCACACCGCTCACACCACGCTCTGGCAAGTTTCCACTTCCTCTCAAATACATCTCAGATGTGACTCCACTCTGCAGCTGCAGGTTCGAAAGGCTCGCACGATGCCTCCGCAACCTTTCGAGGCCGGCGAGGATGCATGATAATTAGCGAACCATTTAGTCGCGGCGCTATCCATCATCAAGGGGAGGAGGAGGAGGAGGAGGAGGAGGAGGAGGAGGAGGAGGAGGAGGAGGAGAAGGAAGAGGAAGAGGAGGAGGAGAACACGAAGGAGAGGATGAGGAAGGAGGAGGAGGAGAGGAGGAAGGAGGAGGAGGGTGGAGCACGAGGAGGAGGAGAAGGAAGAGGAGGAGGAGGAGGAGGAGGAGGAGGAGGAGGAGGAGGAGGAGGAGGAGGAGGAGCAGGAGCAGGAGCAGGAGGAGGAGGAGGAGGAGGAGGAGGAGGAGGAACACAATACAAGCACACACACACGTATCCACGCAGGGTGATCGACAACGCGAGGTGCACAGACCGAGGTCGAACAATTCGACTGCCCGAAATCATTGGCATCTTGGCCGCGCAAGCACCGAGAGTCTCCTCCCGCCCCCTGCAGCAGAGCTACCCCCCCCCCTCCACTCGATGGTTCGCGTCTGAGCCTCGATCAGCTCCTTGGGAGGGTCCTCGGGAAGGCACATACTGGAGCGGATGCGCCAGTGGATGATTGGTCACTGCACCGACCTTGCAGACGTGCTGCAGCGGATGTTTCGAAGTGAATTTCACGTGGGTTCTTTTCGTCTTCATTCCTGGCCCCAAAAAATCCGCACGAAATTCACCTCGAAATCCGGAACAAAATTCTCCAGGACACTCCGGGCCTATCCTATCGTTTTCCGAGCGAAATCCACTTTGCGATGTTGGCGCCATGATGATTGGTTTGTCTGGGCCGCGGAGAAGGAAAGGCAACTCACTACTCCTCCTACTCATCGTCTTCCTCCGTTCCCCCCTCGCCTTCTTCTCCCCAGCCTGCCCCTCCCCACCCAGCTTCTGCATACCCCCCTCCTCTTCCTCCACCCACCTTCCCCTCTGAGGATAACAGCATGAGAACTCCCGGAACAGATGTGAGGTCAGGCTCCTCCTCCACCTTCCCTTCCGAAGATAACAACATAAGAACTCCCGGAATAAATATGAGGCCAGGCGAAACGCCAACTGAGCGATGCCCGGCAACCTTCGACAACCAATGCGGCCCGAAGACGAAGCCTCTGTTTCCTCCCGAAGCTGCGAGAAGAACAGGAAAAGGAGAGACGAACAGGAAGATAACAATGCCGCCAGCTATCGACCCAGGCCTCCGACGAGATGCACCCTGGAGCTTTCGACCCCACTCACGGGACCGAAGGTATTCCTTGTCAGGGCTCGATGACGGCCCCCGAAGAAGGCCGAAAGAACGAAAACGACCGCGTGCTGTGTTTGTTTGCTTGTGCGCGCGTAGTGTTTTTCCTTTGGTCGTGGCGATGGGGGCCTGGGGGCGTTGCGTCATACCTCAGACCTGCCCCCCAGAGACGGAGGGCGGCATCGAGTCCATGGGCACCGGCGGGAGCGGCGCGTTCGGGTCGTAGTCCTCGTCCTGGGGCACCGGCGAGGGCCGCCCAGGTGACGCCACCACGCCGCCCCTCTCCCTTGCCCGCTCGCCCTCCTCACTCCCTCGTCCTGCATCGTCGGCCTGCCTCCTGCCCCCCCCCCTCCTCCCGCCTCCCGTTTCTGAAGTCTTCGGCCTGCTGCCTGCTCCTCTTGGCTCGGCCCAGCAGATCTAACAGGAGGATCAGGGCGACCATCCAGCGTTTTGCGGGGGCGCGCATGAAGCGGCGAGTGGGCCCCAAGGAGACCCTGGGGCCCCACAAACACGCCGCGCGCCACTGGCCGATTAATGACCTTTTGCTAGAGCTTAGCGCACACAAATGCGCGCAGAGAAGCGTGAACACAAAGCATCGCCATGCACGCATGCCGTGAGCACTCAAATACACGAACCCCCTGTGAGGCAATCGTCAAAGGGGGCAAACATCGGAAAATACGACCCGGCTGTATTCTTCCAAACACAAGGGGCACCTCTCCACGTATCCATCGACGTAACATTGTCAGGTCGGACCTGACGATCATCCGCTGGCGTGTTTCCTCCATTATTTTCCACATGGAAGGCCCGTTCAGGCCGACCTGAACAAAGCGCTGTCTCATCGGAGAGCACCACCGAGCCCCACAAATTCATGCACAGGGGGCACCCGGGCATTGCCACATCGACCCCGCCATTTTCAGATCGGACTTGCTACTCATCGTCTGGCGCGTTTCGCCCACTGCGTTTTCTCCGGGAAACCTCAGGCAGCAGACTTTGCAATTTTTCGGTCCAGCCGGACTGGCATGCCCCGCAATACACTGATCCCCGTGGACCACCCGCGGGCGACGCAGATGACTGTGGATCGAGAAAAACGAGAGAACGATTTCTCGGTTATGGTAACGAGGTCGTGGGGTGACTTTCCTGGATACCGTCCATACGCAATCCTGTCAGGGGTGGAGGACAGCGGGGCGCTGCCATCATCGTCGTCATCGCCGTCGCCACTGCGTGCCTACCCTGTGGGTGGCCGAGTAAGAGATACTTCGTTTAACAGAGACAGCGGTCGAGCGAAGAGTGGTCGCGCACAAGACGCGCACAAGACGACTGGTCGCGCGCAAGACGCTCACAACACGAGACACGAGACCGATTTCTCGCGGGCGACGAAGGGAACCTTGACATTTGAAACACGAGACCGATTTCGCGATGGGGGGGGCCCGGCCTCTCACGAGCATGAGATGCGCCGTCGCCGCCACGGAGACGACTGAGCCGGACTCGCGAAAATGTTTGTGGACGCCGTGTAACGCGATGATATGGTTTTTTCGGCCCGCCGGCTCCCACGGTGAACTTGGGGTCCAACCATAGAGGGGCAAAACCCTCAAGGGTTGTGTTGCTCCCATCGCACTTCAGGACCAAATCCCAGAAATAATTTCGAGCACCCAGAAGAATATCGAACAAATGTCGAACGAGTAGCGCCTCCCATGGCCCGACACGTGAAAACCCTAAAGTTTCGGTATTTTCTTGGTGCTCAAAGTTCTTTCTGGTGATCAAGGCCAAAGTAGGTTGGAACATCATAGCACAAAAGGCGGCATGTCAAACAAGGCCCACGGTGGGACTACGTATTTACCAGTTCGGCAGGGTGGTGCGAGGGCGGGGAAGCTTAACCGGGGTAGACCTGAGCTGAAATTGCACGGACCAGGAATCAATGCCAAGGCCAAACCACCCTGGACAACGGGCCTGCCCAACCGCCCTACGACCAGGGCTGCTAGAATCTCAGTCGCAGTGTTACTCCCACGTGTCGTGCTCCTGTCAAGAACTCAACGGAAGAGCAGTGCGACCCACAGCTTTTGGCGAGGATGCGCACGAGGCGGCGATTGGGCCCTGAGCAGACGCTAGGCCACAACGGCTGGACGGCGCCCGTGGGAGTAGCATTTCGAACTCCACCGCCCGCCGCCCGCCGCCCGCGAGCGCCGCCCGGTGCAAAGTGCATCTGGCCCGCAGGTGTCTCCCGATACTGCGCAGCATCCAACGTGGAAAGGCGATCCTCGTGGGCGCAAACACACATCCGCACCCGCAGTGGCCGGGCCCCTGAGGCCGCGACCCAGCCGCGGATACATTCGGAGAGCTTTTGGGGGCCCCAAGAGAACGCCGCACGCACTCGGCCAATGAACGCAATGGCATCTGGTTGAGGGAACAAATTGAGCAACACTCCCCCCCTCCCCCGCAGATCAAAATTGGCACGTTCCTTGAAGACCACTCGGAGACACAAAACCAGAAGATCCGAAATCAACATTGCATTTGCGGGAGAGGGGGGGGGTTCAAACCACACGTTCTGCATGGGTGTTGCTGAATTATTTCCGACACCTGTCACGGTCGGCCCGCCGACTCGCACGGCGAAGCCGTGGCCCGCCCAGACAGGGGCTAACTGCCCCTTGGGCGAGCGGCGGGGCAAGCAGCGCCCCACGACTCATCGCCGTGCTCACGGCAACTGCTGGGGACCAGCCAGGAGCCCGCGCTCGCGCGAGCGTAACTGCTCGCCTGCTGCCCCCCCCCCCTCCCGCACCCTCCCCCCGCCCCCCCCTTCTGCTCCCGGGCGATGGGGAGGGGCATCGGTGACGAGGGCGGCGACGAGGCGGCGGCGGACGCAGAGGGCTGCGACTGGTCTGAGAGCTATACTCCCCCGAGCAGGAATCCACGGCGCCGTCTCGGCCAGGAACGGCATGCTGGAAGCGGCAGCTGTGAGCAGAGCTGGCTTCGCAAGTGCAGGCTGGGCCTCCGACCCCGACCGGGGCGCGCCCCGTCGATGGGCGCGGACGACGAGCGGGCGCGCGAGCCAGCGGGGGCGGGTACACGCACCTGCCCTCCGTGGCCGTCGCCGCCGCGCCACGCCCTGGGCGCAGCCACCAGTTGGGCGGGACCACAGCCGGCCCGTATCAGGAGGATGCGGATGGGCCGAGGAGGCAAGGATGCAAGGGTATCCTTGGGAAAGTCGCTCATCCTTACCATGCGGGTCGACTGTAGGAGAGCTCCAAGCAATGCACCTCCACCAGCCCTGGCCAGGCCCATCCTTGGCCCTAGACTGGTGTACAAGCCCCCTCTGGCCTAGGCCTGGAGGTCTATACTCCAGCCCAGGGGCCAGGATGAACCTGGCCAGGGCCGGTGGTGGTGTATTGTCGGCGTCCCTGCGAGGGAGTAAGAAAAAGACGCCGCCGCTGCGCCGCAAGCACGGCCGCGACCACCGCCGCCGCGCCCTTCGCCACGAGCGTCGCCGCCCTCGTGGTCGGCGCCAACCAGCTCGCCATCGTCGTCGCTGCTGAAGTCCTTGACCCCTGTAATGATCCGTGCCCCAACGCTCCCGCGAGACCCCGCGCGCGCCGCGTCGACGCACCCCCCGCCTCTTCCACACCAAGCCGAACGTCGCCAGTCCAGGGCCCAGGATAAACCTGGCCAGGGCCGGTGGTAGTGCATTGTCGGCGTCCCTGCGAGGGAGCACAGTCGGACCGAAGACCAAAGAACCAATCGCAGTGCTGGAACAAAGACGTCACAAAAAGCATCACATGACTCTCAGAAGCGTCGTGTATCAAAACGCCGTCGAAAGTCCGCCGGCCCCCTTGTGGGGCCACCAGGCTGTAGGCCCGTGATTCGCAGTTTCCTGTACCAGTTGTAGTTTGTAGTTTCCAGTGTTACAATTCTGCTTATTGCTGGTTACTGTACTAGTTGATTGACCGCGCGAGGGGAGGGAGGCCCAAACCAGATTTTTAGCACCACCTGGGCGCGTTGTCTGAATTGCTGGGGGGGCTCAAAATCGACACCCCTCACGCAGATCCGCGGGGTCAGGGTCCAAAAACACAGGGGATTTGCCACATTTCTGAAATTCGGTGCCACCCCTCACGCAGATCCGCGGGGTCAGGGTCCAAAAACACAGGGGATTTGCCACATTTCTGAAATTCGGTGCCACCCCTCACGCAGATCCGCGGGGTCAGGGTCCAAAAACACAGGGGATTTGCCACATTTCTGAAATTCGGTGCCACCCCTCACGCAGATCCGCGGGGTCAGGGTCCAAAAACAAAGGGGATTTGCCACATTTCTGAAATTCGGTGCCACCCCTCACGCAGATCCGCGGGGTCAGGGTCCAAAACCTGCTCTTCCATGGCCCATTCTCCGAGAGAGGGGGCTGGCGGCAGGGGGCGAAGCCCTTACGGATAACTATGCACATTCCTCCGCTTGTGCTTTATATTTTGCTAAGTGGGCATCCATATGACTGCCTGGCGCCTGCTTGGGAACTCAGACCTAGGTGCCGACCGATGGTAGACCTGTCCAAGCCGGAGATGCATGTGGAGCAGGCAACACTTGCATGTCTGGGTGAGCTCTTCCTCCAAGAGGTCATACATCTTGACGAAACTTCTGACCGATTTGTGGCTCCAGCTAATGGCCGGGTCTCAAGGCAAGGATTTGAGGGTTCACCGTGGAGTGCGGCATGTCGGGGTGCTCAGCTTACTGGAGACTGAAAGGCTTCACCTCGGCGGTCGGGTGACCCTTTTCCAGCTGCGCCACTCGCTCCAGCACATGACACACAGAAGAAATTGACAAACATGTCGTCGGGTCAGCGGGCATGCATGCCGAGCGCAACGGAAGGGCCAACGCGAGCAGCACCGAAGCGTGACGAACCGAAGTCGGCATTAGTCGGCGCTGCAGCCAGCTCAGACGAGAGCAGCCTGGACCAACATGGAGGTGGAATTAGGTCGGGCATGTCCCCCTACAGGGGGATTCGGGGCGAAAAATAAAAGAAGATTCCAAACATATTCAACACATTCCCCAAAGGACTAAAACAACACCGTACCCCGATTATTTTTTCTTTGGAATATTTCTCCTGTAGAGAGACGTGCCCGACTTAACGGTGGGACGGCGAGGGCGTCGGCGACCGGGGGGGGCGACGAGGAGGCGGTCGACGAGGGCGAAGAGCAGGCAGACGATGCGGAGATGAGGGCGCAAGGCGAGGGCGAGGAACTCGAGTCGTCAGAACCGCGCGTGTGCGGGCGGACCGAGAGGGGGATGAGGACGGGGGAAACGAGGATCCTCCTCCTCCTCCTCCTCCTCCTCCTCCTCCTCCTCCTCCTCCTCCTCCTCCTCCTCCTCCCCCTCCCCCTCCTCCTCCTCCTCCTCCTCCTCCTCCTCCTCCTCCTCCTCCTCCTCTCCTCCTCCCTCCTAGCTCTTTCCCTCCTCGCCCTCGTCTTCGTCCTCGTCCTCATTCTATCCCTCCTCCTGCTCCTCGGGGCTTGACTACTCTCGTTGATTTAACAGAAGTGGCTATCACAAGAATGCGCATTGCGCGTGCAATCCACCAATTTCCAGTTCCAAAGGCCTGTAAACGGTCCTTGGAACATGCTCCAGGATCAAAAGGTTTGTTGGCCAAACCGTCGCGAGCTTCGCTTGAAAGGATGGGAGAGCCCGTTTGTGACCCACCCTGATGGACAGGGTTACGCCTAGTACCCTCAACGACATCATCAACCCACTACACTTATCATCCCTCTCTCTCTCCCCCCCCTCATCCTCCCCCTCCCCTTCCCCTCCCCTTCCCCTCCTTCTCCTCCTCCATCTCTTTTCCTTATAAATAACTCCTGCTTGTCGCATCCCCAAACGTGTCGGTAGGGCGGACCGCGCGTTTCGCCTGAGCCCTCCTCAACACCTATGATCCTGAAGCTTGTAAGTTGCAACAGTTTCACGGCTGGAGGACGGGCCCTTTCCAACATGTCGCTCTCGCCTCAGCTCCTCGCGCATTCGTCCTGAAAGTTTGCAACAGCTTCAAGAGTGCAGGGCGGGCCTTTTTCAAAATGTGGCTCTTGTCTTGGCGCCGCGCACACGTGTCTCTTCAACTTTTGCAGCACTCGTAAGGGTGGAGGGCGGGTCCTTTTCAACATGCGGCTCCAGCCTTGTCGCCGCGCACATTCGTCTTAAATGTTTGCAGCAGCTTCAAGGAGGGAGGGCGGGCCCTTTCCAACACGAGGCTCTCGCCTTATCGCCGTTCGTCTTCAGAGCTCGCAGAAGCTTCAAGGATGGAGGGATTGTCCTTTCAAGCAAGTGGCTCTCGCCTTCGCGCCCCAATCATTCGTCTGGAAAGTTTGCTGACCGTGTTCTGGCACGATTGAGGATTGCCAGGGCGCAGCAGTCACGGTACATCGCGGCGTTGAAGTCCCAAGAATTAGGCTTTGGCACGAATGAAGGCTCTCACACGGTTGTCTTTTCATGGGGCACTTCCCGAAATCAAAACAAGCTCATTTAGGGACCTCCTCCTCCTTTTCTTCCTCGGCGGGAGGGGCTCGGCACAGCCGGGCCCGTGCGTCGCCTCGAGCAGGGCTCGGCGGCGGAGAGGGGGGTCGGTCCTCCGGGTCTGGGGCGATGTAGTCCCAGTCGCCGCGGAGGTCCGTCGGCGGCGCGCCCGGGTGCGGCCCCACACCCTCCTGGGACCGCTGGGGAGATGGTGGGAGGGGGGAGAGGGAGGGGCGGGGGATGGGGGACGAGGGCCGGGGGGGGTGGGAGAGACGAGGGGGCGGGCGGGGGAAGGAGAGGGGAGGGACGACGGGGCGGGCGGGGGGAGGGAGGAGGGGAAGGGGGGGGGAGAAGGTGGGGCGATGCGGGCAGCGAGGCGAGGGCGGGTGGGGTGGGGTGGGGGACGAGGGTCCATGGAGCAGATGGAAGATGGAGGCGGGAGGGGGAAGGGGCGGATGGGGGGGAGGGGAGGAGGCAGGAGGAGCACGAGGGACGACGGGGGGATGAGAAAGGAGAGTCAGGAGAACTGAAATAAGAGGGAAGGGGGGAGGTCAGAGATGGGCCGGAAAGATGACGTGCGGGTGGGAGGGAGCACGAGGACGAGGACGAGGAGGCGCAGGGACATGTGGGCTTTTCTAAACACCCAGTCGGGGCGCTCCTCTTCCATCAGCTCTCCCCGCTCTCCAGCTTCCATCCCCCCTTCCTCACCCCCCTCCCTCCCTCCCTCCCTCATAACTTCCAACGCCCTCCCCTCCCCTCCCAACTCCTCGCCACTCCCCCGTCCTGATTCTTGCTTGCTTGCTCGCCTGTTTACTCTCCCTCGCTTGCTTGCTTGCTAACCTGTTGCCGTGCAAGCACAGCGACCTGACCTTTAAAAGACAAATGTAAAGGGAGCTCCTAAGGCCCGCACGAGACGGCCGGAGGCCAGGAGAGCGACTTGAGGGGCCGATCGAAGCATCGGTGCCCTGCAGAGCACCCCTCTTCAGTTACCTGTCTCGGAGCATGCAGTACGACTGCATGGGTTCAGACGTCTTCGAAAAAGAAAAGACGGCATAAACACAAAAACTTTCGACGATCCGCGCGGATTTGTTGGATCTGCGCTGGGCCGGGCCCAGACAGGGAACACCAAAAAACCGAGACGGGCTGAATCGAACTCTCGCAAAACCGTACCGACTGGGACCGAACCGCGGACCAACACCGGAATCGAACTGGAACCGGACGCCCCCCCCCCCCCCGAACCGACAGGAACCGAACCAGACGCCCAGCCCCTCCTCCTCCTCCTCCTCCTCCTCCTCCTCTTCTTCCTCTTCCTCCTCCCTTCTCCCTCCTCCTCCTCTCTCATCTTACTTTGTCCCCCTCCTACTCCCCTCCTCGCTCCTGCTCCTCCTCCTCCTCCACCGGTGCGCCCTCCTCCCTCACTGGCTTCATCGCAGCATCTCCCGTCCGCGCACCAGTCTTGGGCCAACTGCGGTGTCTGGCCAACGCTCGCGCCAGCGCGCGGTCGGAAAGTCAAGGTCTGTCCTCCTCCTCCTCCTCCTCCTCCTCCTCCTCCTCCTCCTCCTCCTCCTCCCCCTCCTCCCCTCCTCCTCCTCCTCTCCTCCAACTCTTCCTCCTCCTCTTCCTCCTCCCTCCTCCTCCTCCTCCTCCTCCTCTTGTTCCTCCTCCCTCTCCCTCCTCTCCTCCTCCTCCTCCTCCTTCTCCCTCTCCTCCTCCTCTTCCTCATTCCTCCTTCTCCTCCTCCTCCTCCTTCTCATCCTCTCCTCTCTCGTGTTCCTCCTCCTTCTCCTCCTCCTCCTTCTCTCCTCCTCCTCCCCTCCTCTTCCCTCCTCCTCTCTCCTCCTCTCTCCTCCTCCTCCTCCTTCTTCTCCTTCTCCTCCTAGACCCCCTCGCCCTTTTTATCTGCTCATCCACGGCTGCTTTTGCTCCTCCACTTCGACCTCCACCTCCATCTCTACCTGTTGATCTGCCCCCTCCTTGCCTGCCTCTGCATTCCTCCTATACTGCTCTTGCCTCCTCCGATTCCACCTCCTCCTCCTCCTCCTCCTCCTCCTCCTCCTCCTCTTCCTCCTCCTCCTCCTCCTCCTCCTCCTCCTCCTCCTCCTCCTCCTCCTCCTCCTCCATCGTCATCCACCCGTTCCGTCTATTCCTCCGCAAATCCCTGCTTTCTCCCACCCCTATCCTTATACATCGTGACGTTGGTCTCCCATTGATCGCGCACGGTGAGCAGTGGGAAGCCGTCCTCAACAAGAAGCACGGCGAGGAGGATAGGGGGCATGATGAGGGATGGGGGGGAAGGACGGGGGAGGAGGGAGAAGATCTGGATGGGAATGTGTATGAGGTAGAGCCAGGGGGGACAAGGAGGCCGAGGAGGGAGGAGAGAGGACGGAAGATGACGAGAACGAAGAGGGAAGCAGGAGGGGGGAGGATGAGGATGAACTGAAGGAGGATGAGGAGGGTGAGGGGGAGCTGCCAATCGCAAGAAGAAAGAACGAGGATAAAGAACAATAGCAGGAACAGGAGGAGGGCGATGGGGAAGAGACGGGCAGAGGAAGGATCAGCGAGGAGCCAGAGAGGAAGGACGGCTGGGAGGAGCGGGAGGACCAGCACGAGCGGGAGGCAACGAGGGAGACGCGCATGGAGAGAGGACGCAGCGGCGGCGGAGCACGGGCAAGCACAACAGGTGAGGGGCAGCACGAGGAAGAGCAGCACGAGCGGGAGCCCTGGGGTGGGGGGGGGGGAGGGAGAGGCGGGGCGGGAGGCGGAGGGGGAGGGAGAGGAGGCCTCAAGTTCTGACAGATCTGCACAGTTTGCCTTTGCTGCCAGGCAGTCATACATCTGCGGATAGGGGGCACATGGCCCCCGAAGTTGCCTCGGGAGGGAGGAGGGGGAAGAGGAGAGCCAGCAGGAGCAGCAGCAGGAGCGCAAGACGAGACGGCGGGACGAGGGGGGGAGGCAGCAGCAACATTGAATGGCCAGGACGAGGAGCATACAGTGCGTTGCTGGAAGTGCCCATGGCCCAAGGTGCCCCCAGGATTTCCAAGGAGGCCCCCAGGGCCTCCAGAGCACCCCACCACGAGGGCCAGAGAGCCCCAAAGGGCCCCCAAAATGGAGCGACGAGCTGGGGGCGCATTCGGCCACGGGCATCTTTCAGCACCCACCCGAAGAGATGTAAGGAACCGAACTCTACACCGACGCCTTTCTCCGGCCCCGCACCGAAGCTCGCACAAGAAAGCGGATCCTGGTGTATACGTGATCCTGGTGTATACATGTCTCGTTGTCTCCCCAGGAAAACGGGGAAACGAGTGTACACCACACCGCCCCGACGACGTCCCCGACCCTCAGCAAGTCCTGGGATTGAAAAACAGCCCGCCACTGTTACGGTTGAGGGAACAAATCAAGCAACACTCCCCCTTCCCCCGCAATTCAAAGTGGGCACGTATGCGCATCACTGGTCCGACACTCAAGTTCGGGACATCCGAGCCCAGCATTGCATTCGGGGTGAGAGGGGGGAATTTACACCATATGTTATGCATTAGTGTTGCGTGATTACTTCCAACACCTGTGGTGCAGGGCTGGACCTAAACGTTTTCGTCGTTTTGCTTTTCGTGTTGCTCTACCTGTTCTCCTGTACCTCTCTGCCAAAACGAAAAACCAAACACAGCCGAAGTCCAGCAAAACAGCGTTTAGGTCCAACCCTGCTGTAGTGCATATGATCAGAATTCCGAATATGTGGTGGCTGCCGTGGCTTGGCATGCCATCAGCTCGCAATACGAACCACGACACCTCCCTCCCGCCTCCCTTCTCCCATTAGTCGTAAGTTGTCCGTTGTCGGCGTCGAGGTCGTCATCGTCGTCGTCGTCGTCGTCGCCGTCGTCGTCGTGTCAACCACCAGCATCTGGAGCGCCTCGGATCGGCGGCACTGGCCGGAGGCCATTCAATATGTGGTGGCTGCCGTGGCTTGTCAAGCCATAAACTCGCAACAAAAGCCACGACGATCCCGCGATCGCGCCGCCAGGGCAGCCAAGTACGTACCCCAACTCTTCTCTCCGGTGGTCACCACAAGGGCCCCGCGGGGTTGGGAGGATGAAGGGTATGAGCAATAGCACTCGGATGCAATGCGCGATACCTTTGACCGCCTACGGGTAATGAGATCCTTATTTCTCCCAAACCCATCCTCCCAACCCGATCATTGTCTTCCTGATTGCTGCGACCCGGTACGGTCAGAATGCATTTGGGCCCTCACGACAAAAAAGAAGGCAAGCCTTCACACAGCCGATGCTTTTTGACGATCGGACGGGGGCAGCCATCCAGAGAAGGGGCTGGAGCCTTCATCTTCGAGGCTGGGGGCGTATGCCACCAAAACATATACACAGACACCCTCCGAGGAACTTCGTGTGTACCCTCAGGGAGGGCGGCGGTGTATAAAATCGCTGGCTCTTACGGGTGATTTATACACCACCACAGTCCCCTGAGGCCCAGGAACAATTCACTGGAGGGTGTATGTGGATGGGTGGGACTCGGTGGTCGGTGCAGGTGGACTCCACAACACCCGATCATGATGGCCACGCTAGCCCTGGGCCCGACACTGGTGAAAAAACGTGCGGCGGCAACCCATGGGAGCCTCCTAAGCCATTCTGCTGGCTCCCGCGAATGGAGAATAATCGACGCTAATCGACGCTAAGTTGACGCAAATCGACGCCAATCAAAGCTACATCGGCGCTATCCCACCGATTGCCAGAGGCTGATCGACGCCAGCGCGCTCCCAAAGCGGAATTACGAGGGCACGCAAGGATCCCATCCTTTGCTGCCGGACAACGCCCTCCTGACTTCGCTGGGAGAGCGCATCCGCCGATCCCGGGTCGATGACCAAGATCAGTCAGCATCGAATCGGTAAATCGGATCGCTTCGAAAGGTGCATCGGTTCTGGCTGCACCAGCACGCCATCGAAATCGGAGATCGGATTGTCTGCACCAAGAAGCACAACAACGCCGTGCAAACATCTGGCCTCATCAGGCAATCGCAATCGTAATATCGGAATCGACTCGGATTGGGCTGGCCAGAATCTCGCGGCGAGCCCGGGGGGCAAGTGAGAATGGGTGGGCCTTCTAAGAAGGCTCCGAAGTCCCCCGACCTTCTGAGAAGTTTTCTAAGCCTTCCCCGAATACTCAGAACACCCCTCAGAAGGTTGGATGCATTCTGAGAAGACCCTCCTCCTGAGAAGGCCTCCTCTTTCTCACTTCGCCCCGTCGCTCGCCGCCAATTCAATCTGGCATACAGCTGAGGGACAAAAAACCGCCGACCCTGTCGGCGTGTGCGAGGGGCTTGTCTGTTCGAGTCGTCGTCTCCGTCAGTCGCCGTCTCCGTCGTCCCCTTTCCCTGCGCTCTCCTCCTCCAGCCTGTCGGCGAGAGAACAACCTGGCAATGTCGTAATCGAATCGAAAGGAAGCCCCTTCCCTTTGATCCCTCCCCCGCCAGGAGGGGGCGGGGTCCAGGGGGGAGGAGGGGAGGAGCAGATACGCATCACCCCCTGGGGGTCCCAGGGCCGCCAAAAGTACCACTGGGCCAAGAGTGCCCCAAGAGGCCCCCGAGACGGTCCAAAAACGCCTTCACGCCCTCCATACTGCCCAGGAGACCTCCAAGAGGCCCCAAGAGGCCTCTAAGAGCACTCCCGAGAGACACGCAAAAAGCAAACTGCTTTGATTGGTCGTAGGAATTTGAATGATTTGGGCGTTCTCGCCTTTTCGCTTCCCGCTGCTCCAAGACGGCCGAAGAGGCCCTCCAGATCGCCCCCAGACGGCCCAAGAGGCTTCCAAGAGCGCTCCCAAACAGCTCAAGAGGAACCCAAGACAGCCCACAGCGTCTCCATGACAGCCTAAGAGGCCCCCAAGACGGCTCCAAGAGCGTGTCCAGACGGGGGACCCGAACGACATTTCGAGCTCTCGGCCCCGATAAGCTCCCAGGAGGCCCCCAAGGGTTCCTAAGAGGCCCCAAGAGGCCCACAAGAGGCCCCCAGGAAGCCCGAAGAGGCCCCGAAAGGTTCCCAAGAGGCCCCCAAGAGGCTCCCAATAGACCCCAAAATTCTTCCCCAGAGGCCCCCGATTGATTTCCCAAGGGACCCTAAGAAGCATCCCTGAGGACTCTGGTCCACGTCAGCGTCGTCGTCGTCGCCGCCGCCGCCGCCGTCGTCATCGTCCCCCCTCAGGGTCGGCGGCAACGGCCGTAAGGCCGTTGCAGTAAACCAACACTTCCCCCTCCCCCGCAATTCGAAACTGGCACGGTTACGCATCACCGCTCGGACACGCCAGCTCGGAAGATTCGGAACCAACATTGCATTCGGGGGGAGGGGGACCAAACCATATGTTACGCGTGAATGCTGCTTAATTGTTTCCGACACCTGTTAGATGAGCTGACGGCCTCGAAGACGACCTTCGAAGGGTCCCCCAAAAGCCCCATGAGGGAACCAAGATGGCCAACACAACATCAGCGCACAGAAATCCGCTCTCCCAAACTTCCGGCCCAAGATGACATCTGCAGCGCCCAAAAAAAGGCCTCAAGACGGCCCAGGACTGGCTCAAGACTTCCCATGGCGGCGAAATAAAGATGGCCCCGAGAGGGCTCAGCAGGTCCTGCAGCAGGGCCCCCGATAGCCCAGGAGGCTTCCCAGACGGCCAAGCAGGAGGGCCCGATAGCGCCCGAACGCCCGAAGGCAGCCCAAAACGGCCCCCAAGAGGCCCCCCACGACAACCTCCACACAGCGCCCCAGCATGCTCTTCAAACGCCCCAAGTGCCGATGGCAAAACCTTCTCGTCTTCCTTCAATCCCTCCATTCCTCCCTCCCTCCCTCCCTCTCACCCTCCCCCTTCCCCCCCGTGTTTTGTTGTTGGTCTCTCTCTCTCTCTTTTTGTTCTCTCTCTCTCTCTCTCTCAAGATACATCAGCACATCCTGGCATTCCCCCCCTGCTCCTCATCCTTCTCCTCTTCTTCTTCTTCTTCCTCCTCTTCTTCCTCCTCCTCCTGCTCCTCCTCCCCCTCCTCCTCCTATACGTTACGACTCAGTCCTCTACTGAGGAAACAAGCTGCGACATGTTACAGGGCCCAGCTTGACCTCGGGAATCGATGATAACGCAGTGCTGCATTGGCATGGTGGGGAACTTGCGGCGAGCACCTCGGTATGATTATTGCTCTCCTCTGCTCCGGTCCTCAAAGCCAGGACATCCGACGCTCGCGCACGCCCCTGATAGTTCGGAATGTGAGCTTCTTCCGCCCGAATGTCTCTTCTCTTTCGAGATGCGCTGCCGTGCCCCCAGGCACGCTGGGCGCGTGGTAGAATGCCAAGCGCCGCCTCGTAGGGCTCCTGTTATCGTCTGGCCCCCCCCCCTCTTGACACATCTCGTTGCATGCACCGCCCCCCTCTCGAGGTTCGCTGGGCGGCCCGACGCTGCCCTGGCGCTCTCCAGGGCGCCCAGTATGCCGAAGATGCCCCAATTTCCAGAGGGCCCAGGCAGGCAGCCGAAACGGCCGAGATGGCCGCATCTGCCTCCGAGACAGCCCGAAGCCGCCAGGAGACGGCCCAGGATGGTCTCAAGACGTCCCTAGGAGGACCCAGGACGGCCCAAGAGGGCTCCAAGAGGACCCCCAGGAAGGGCCCGCGGAGTTCAAGGTCATTGACCGTCCATGGGTCGTGTCACGCTTCTTCTCGGCGGCGAGCGAGGGGGGAATGGAGAAGGAGAAGGCCTTCTCAGAAAGCGGCGGGACTTCTCAGAGGCCCTCGCGCCTTTTCAGAATTTGTTCCTGTCTTCAGGGAAGGCTTAGAAAACTTCTCAGAAGGCCGTGGGACTTCCAAGCCTTCTGAGAAGGCCCGCCCCTTCTCACTTACCCACCTCGCTCGCCGCCGATCCTCGTCCTCACCGTTCTGGGCGTCCGTCAGCCCAAGATGGCCCAAGAGGCCTCCGAGATGGCCCGAGAGGGCCCGAGCCCAAGAACGAACCAACACCGCCTCACGAGCCCCACAAAAAGGCTTCTGAGGCGCTCCCATGAGCCGTGGGGCCTCCAACGGGCCCGAAACGAGGAGGAAGGAACGAGAGGAAGAGAGGAGGAGGAGGAGGAGGAGGAGGAGGAGGAGGAGGAGGAGGAGGAGGAGGAGGAGGAGCAGGAGCAGGAGGAGGAGCAGGAGGCGGAGGAGGAGGAGGAGGAGGAGGACGACGACGGCGAAACCGGCGAGAGGCAGCCCGACACGACGCGGAAGAGCGTGCCGCTCTCACGCCCCCCCCCCCCCAGGGCCTCGGGGCACGAAGTGTCACACGCTGCGGCGGCCTCTGCGCTCTCTGGGCACTGCCGCCCAGGAGTGCCGGGCGGCCACGGCGGCGGCACCTGCCGCGGATGGAGGTGCAGCGCGCCATCACCGAAGCGCCTCCCGCGTGCCGGCGGCCGGAGCCTGCCACGCTCCAGCGGCCAGAGTCCGGCACCTCGACAACAATGGCTTGAAACGCGTGCGGCTGGAACTTATCTCCTCCCCAATGGCTACCTGCTCACGCCGTCGGCCCGCGACGCTCGCACTCAGACCAAGCGAGTTCCCCCCCCTAAACAGTCTGGGGAGTCCCCCTCGGAACGTGTCGTGTCGTTCTGGAGTGGCACTCTCGACTCAGAGCCTGCCGAGTCCCTGTCCTCGATCGCGCTGCTTGCACCCCCGACGCTTCTGCGCAATGTGCCTTTGCGGCGCTTTTCTACCCCATCGGAACACATGGTCAATAAGTTCGAAACCTGCGGCGCAACTTCCCCCCCTCATACCCCAGATTAATAGTGAGGGTGCGGCAATGAAGGGGGTGGTGAGTGGACAAACGTATCCGAACCCCAGAACCCTTACCCATGCTAAAATCAACATTGGCTTCTGGGGCTGGGGGGGTGATCCGAATCCCCCTCGAGTGTGTTCGAATTAGTTGACCATCATGTACTGTTCCCTTGCTTCGGCGGCGAGCGAAGGGGGGACGTGATAATGAGAAGGCCTTCTCAGAAGGCTCGGAAGTTCCCCGGCCTCCTGAGACCGTTCCTGAGCCTTCCCCGAAGACACAGAAAGCTTCTCAGAAGGCGCGAGGGCTTCTGAGAAGTCCCGCCGCCTTCTGAGAAGGTC